AGTATGTATGGATGTTGAACCCCATAATATGTAGGAACAGTACTCTGAAAAATGTCATATCTGTATCTTGTGTAGTAGCTTTTCGCGTGAAATAAAAATCATAGTTTTTTCGTTGAAACTTTCGTGATGGATCTGGGTGTCGTAGTATACTGATTGATTCCAATTCTTGTTCAGGATCTTCATATAGTATCTTTATTTTTGGTGAGATTTCGCATTTGGAGATCTTGGAAACACTTCCTATGATGAACTTAGTCGTTTTGTTCAGATGTTTTCTAAGAATTAGTGAGTGTGGCATCGCTCACCATGCGCATGCCCTAATAACACAATAACATCCGTAAGACGTCGTAGAACCATCCATATGGGATGATAGGAACAACTCTGGAAAATCCCTATTTTCCTTGGGACATTCTTGTCAGCATTTGCGATGTCTTATAAACATCCCATCAGAATGTTTGTGGGATGATACGGGATGTACCAGAGACATTCAGGGTACTTGATATGGAACATCTTGAAGAAACTTTTAGGATGTTTTTTATTTGATGACAGTGATGGATGACACGGTATGAATTAATTTCATTCTGAAATCCTGAGAATGACCGACCTATTTGCAGATATAAGGTAACAATTCGAATCCGAAAATATATAAGTTCGGTGCAGTGCAATAACCAATGGAAGATGATAACAGTTGTTTGGGGCTCATATTTATTTGTTGGCGCTCGGCCGACGGCTGTTAGTAACTCTTAGCAACGTAGTTGTACCGCCATCTATCGGCTGGTATAACAAATAAATTCAGCAATGAATATGCTGAAGAGATATATATTCAAATTTTGTCGTTTATTACATGGTTCATGAAGTTAAGCAGGTTCTTTGGTAATCTTATTGAGGAATATTTAGTATAATCATTCCAATTTGTTATCGATGAAATTAGCCGGCTTTGGTATAGGAATAAGTACGAATACAGTTTTGATTGAATTTCAGGTGTTTTTTCCTAGGAGAACACCCTATTCAATTATCAGCCCAATGTATTCTAGTTAAGTATGATAAAAATTGATTTTCCTACAAAAATTGCCACATAAACATACACCATGTTCCAATATCGAATTTCATGAAATGACAGACTATTAGTTGTGAGAAAATCAGCAAGCTGAAGAGTTTTGCTGTAGTCATAGAAAACGCGTAGTATATAACTCACACAGAATGCTCGTATGATTTAACTTATGCAGCATACTTGAGTGCTTTCATTCACTCTGCACGATAAAAGACAAGTGTCCGACTAATGGCAAAGAAGAACACAACTTGTTGCTTCTTTTTGGCTTATTGATAATATGATCTATTGAGCATTTCTTCCATGCATCACATAATATGATTCTTTTGTAAAACTCAGTCCACTGTCCGACTATACTGACTGATTCACCCTATACATTGAGAGGCTTATATGAAAAATAGTCTTCATGTGTGCATATTATATTCAAGCATTGTTATGCATTTTATCTGCCACTGAATCCGCCGAATATTTCAAAATCTGATACTCTTACAATAGATGAGCTATAGACAACAATTAACGAGTTAGTATAAAAGACATACACGGGTTCTCTTATCGTCTTTTCACGAAATCAACGAACTACCGAAATCAAACAGCTGTTCAAGTTGGAGCGTTCAAACGGGATGCCGTTATCTTGGTTGTTCTATATTTGGCGTATACAGAAAATCATATTCTTTCAAAGCCTAGAAAGATGATTAAATCAGCTGAGTTATAGACTAAAATTAACGGATAATAAAGGAAATAATCCTATTATTATTGATTCTCTTATCGTTCCATATGAGATACAAGGAACTATCGAAATCACACAAAAAACAGCTGTTCAAGCTGAAACAAGAGCTGTTTTTAGTCCTAGACCTAATATTCAATATCTCACACTAAAAAATATTTCTGCTATACAGGGCGGGTCAGCAAGAAATGTCGCTACCTCGTTTTTCATTTTTGTGACTCTTAGAGTGATTATCATCGTAAAAATGCCAGTCGACCAAAGACAGTCAGCAAGTCAACCAAGTTTATGATTTCATCACACTAGCTACCAGTCATTATACAGGGTTTTTAAATATATATTTTTGTATGCCAAGTTGAGTAGTCATTGTGAGTCTACTCGCCTAGCAGGTGTTGAATAAAAAACGGATAATTTTGACATCATTTATTTCTTAGATATTATACCAACATTTTCAAGTTCAGTAAGAATAAAGGCGATCTCGTTGTTGTTTTTATCTGATTCCATTAAATATCTCAGTCTATCCACCAAGATATTCGAATCTGTCCATTCATCTAAAATATTGTACTCCTCATTCCCAATACTGGCTTCAGGCTCCACGCTCGACTTTGGACGTTTAGGTTTGGTCTTATTTTTGAAGAGGGGTCTGATAATTTTATCAAATTTCTTTTTATCAGCTTGTCCTCGTAATCGCCCTAATCGATCTCAATGGATAGAGCTGATTTCTAGCATCTGTTTATACATCTGGTGATCCAGAGGCGTGTAATTTCGAGGGTTCTTGGAAAATAATAATTCCAAAAGACCCAGAGTACTTTTGAAATCGACATTATCTACGCCTATGTATTGGTCCTCAAAGCGTAGATTCTTATGTCCAAGTGTCCATCTGCCGTCAACATATTTCAGTCCATAAGCATTATCATAATCTGCACAGTGATATTTATCTAATGCTTGCTCTGATGAATGTGGTTTAGACTCCATGATGTGAACGCTATGGTGTCTGATATACAACTGAAGACTTTTGAATACCTCTGAAGACATCTGAATACCTCTGAAGACATCTGAATACCTCTGAAGACATCTGAATACCTCTGAAGGCGTGATCTGAAGACCTCTGAATACCTCTGAAGACATCTGAAGACATCTTAAGGCGTGATCTGAAGACCTCCGAATACCTCTGAATACTTCTATAGGTGTGATCTGGAGACTTCTGAATCCATTAACTGCCATCTGCTAATCAGCTATGTTATTCGAATTGGTGGCGTCCACTCTATGGGCATTCCACATATGGTGGTATAGGTTAGTTTTATTCAAGAATTTCCCACATTTCTCACACACAATGCTTGGTGTCGATTATAGCGAAATTTTCGCTCTTTAAAACTTTCCCACGTTCTATTGATATTGAAAGCAATCCACTCTCCAGTATTGAGACACTCTGTTATAAATCTGAAATAGCTGTGCTCTTAGAGTTCCTGAAATCTCCTGCTACCACTCTGCTAAAATTCACCGAACAAGAATTGCACTATATTCCAGTAGATTGTATCATTGAACATGATGCAGATCCCTGTGACCTATTAATGATATGGCACAAACTTCCTCAAGAATATCGCAGCAACTTTAACCTACAAATCAAACTGCCATGCTTCGTTCATTATAATCGTCCCGATTGGACCATACACTGGGATGGACCGCCATCTTCTCAAGAGGCATGTCATTTTTGTAGAAAAGGATTACTTAAATAAATAGATTATCTAACAATAATTTTCCTCGTAGTAGTTTCATTTCGCATTTATGTACCATTAATGACATATGTCAATGGTAGAACGATATCCCTCAAACACCCTGTATATATTTCTTTCAACTCAAACACTTCTTCCATGCTAAAACATGGGACCGCGAACCGTGGGACACTCTGTATATATTTTTTTTCAATTTTCAATCAACTCAAACGCCCTGTATATGAAAATTCAATCTTGTTATTGTCATTAAAGTCACAGTTTGAGGAATGGGTATACGAGCGCGCGCTTATCATTCTAAGGGATCTCTCGCTTTGCTAGAACTCCGAACGCCATGAAGGTAACGGCATGACGTCACCCACTTTAAAATAAATAAATAATCCAAGTTTTCGTTTCCAATACGAGCGCGCGCTTATCATTCTACGGGATCTCTCGCTTTGCTGGAACTTCGAACGCCATGAAGCGAGACAGCGTTGCCACACACAATAATGTAACAATATTAACATCCAAACACATACGTCCGACAACGTTACAGCGCCGAGCGCTCGAGCCTTACTCTACCTCGATAGATCCGTTGCAAAGATAAGCGCGCGCCAGCGATGGATATTATTTTCGACGCGAAGTTTCTTATCTCTGGAATGCATCTCTCGCTTCACTCTACCTCGATGGATCCGTTGCAAAGATAAGCGCGCGCCAGCGATGGATATCCCGTTTGAATAGCATTAAAATAATTGAAATATCACGGAGGTCGGAATACCACAGTGCGTATATACGCTGCCTCATAATGCAAAGGTCCCTGGTTCAATTCCCCCCCAGCGGTGACAGCTTTTTTTAATTTATTTATCCACGATGGCGACGTGACGCCGTATGAATAATTTGAATTTCGCGCTGGTTTTTAGTGGGCGTGGCCTCCAACCAAATGCTGGCCTCTGATTGGCTTGAGCTGGTACATACATAGCCCTTCTACTTATGTACTATTTGAATATCTACTTTTCTCATTTACATAACTATGATTCTGTCTATTGGCTGTTCCTTCACCACTGAACTTTGATCATTCTAATAAATTTTGTGGAGATGAATCTGAAAATGTCGTCGTATAGCAGAGAAAAAGTGGCTATGTGAATGTGACTATCAATTTCGATATTCTTCAACGAATAACGCGAGAAAAAAATAAGAATGAATAGCCAAAATGTCTGTTTTTCCTTATATCTCCGGAAATACTAGGAATTTGAACATTTTTTCGACGACATATTTTTAGTCACATAAATGCGCAACTTTGACCTAATTCAACCATCTTCGTATCTTCTATAGGTTTCGAGATCCCAATGGCAATCCTCGATTTTGAATTAACCAGTATAAAAGTTATGTCTTCTATTTTTTGAATAAACATGTACACGACGTGGCATCGAAATTCGAAAAAAAAATTACCTTCACGTTCCTCGAAAGTCCAATTATCGAAAACCGACAATTTTTAGGCCACCCGCTAACCACACAAACAACTTACCTGTATTAGATGAAGTATTACCTCCTCTACTATTGCGAGTATTCCGGATTCTCCGAAGGGAGCCCTGCCGCCTCCTACGATGGGGGCGGTTGTTGTTCGCTCCCGGAGTTTTCTTCCAAAGGTAATAGAACTCCACCAGCTCGGGCTGTGGAGAAACACTTTTTTTGGGGGGAATATTTTAAACAAAATGGTTAATGAGTAGGGATCACACGGACTCGGCACCCCCACTCCTGCATTGTTTCACGTGACTACTCCTGCTCACTCAGGTGTCTCTACCAGCCAACCACAGGCCGCCAATCTTTCAAAGTTCCGCCTACTTTAAGATTGGTCATTCAGTGCTCCCAGGTTTAGTGACCAACTGTTATAAATATAATTCGAAATATTAAGACATAGTCTAAAGATGATAGCTTTAATGAGAAGAAGATCCTTCCTGATTCGGAAGAAGTTTATCTCCAACTGTCTCTCTCAACTGAAGAAACACATTCCTTTGAGAATATTCAAACTGATATGGTTGATGAGTAGGGAACACACGAACTGGGTACCCCCTCCCCACTGCTCCATTGTTTCACCCGATTCCTCCTATTCACCCACGTGACTTCACCAGGAAATCACAGGCCGGCAATCTTACCAACTCCTGCCTACTTTTAGATCGGTCACTCAGTGCTCCCAGGTCTAATGACCAGCTGTCAAAACATTTCGTTAATCTTTGAAATGTGAGAATTTCCAAAGTCAATTCGAAATATTGAGACAAAGTCTGAAGGTGACAACTTGTGATAAATGAGAAGAAGATCCTTCATGATCTGGAAGATGTTTTTTCCAGACTGTCCCAACTGGAAATACACTTTTTTTGGGAATATTTAAAATGAAATTATAAATCAGTAGGGATCACACGAACTCGGCACAACCCCACTCCTGCATTGTTTTACCCGACTCCTCCCACTCACCCACGTGCCTCCACCAGCCAATCACAGGCCGGCAAACTTCACAAGTCCCGGCCACGTCAACATTGGTCATTCAGTGCTTCCAGGTCTAATGACTAGCTGTCATAGCTTGTCATGCATCTTTGATGTGAGAATTTACAAATTTAATTCGAAATATGAATACAAAGTCGGAAGGTGATGACAATAAGCAAGAGATTCATCCTGATCCGCAAGAAGGTTTCCCAAACTTTCTCAACTGGAGAAACACTTTTTTGGGGGTAAATATCTAAAACGAGATTGTTGATCCGTAGGGATCACACGAACTCAGCACACACCCACTCCTGCATTGCTTCACCTGGCTTTTCTCACTACCCCACGTGATTCCAAATGCCAATTATGGGCCGGCGTCTTCCTAAGTCATGTCTCCTTTGAAATTGATCATTCTGCGATCTCAGGTCTAATGACCAGCTGCCATATCTTTTCGTGAATCTTCTAGTAGTAGGAATTTAAAAATTCAATTCAAAATATAGAGATAGTTTGAAGTTGATTGCTATAATGAACTAACATAAAACAGGTTCTCAAGGTCCTCAATTATTATGTATTTGTGTGCGTGAGAAAATATGTTTACCGTATCTCTATGAGGAAGAAGATCCTTCCTGATTCGGAAAAAGTTTTTTCCGAACTGTCGCAGCCCTTTGACAAATCTTTTGGTTTCTTCTTCGCTCCACTTCTTGTCTATCCCTTTGGGAACAGGACATTTGACCAAGGCTTGGAGAGCTTTGCCAGGATCGTATCCAGAATCGTGAAGCTGAAACCGGAATTCCCGTACAATTACAAGAAAAATCAACGAACTAACAAATTGTGTGCATCGTGATGATGCCGATGGCACTCTTGTGAAATAACATGACATATACAGGGTGTTTTCTCATAGGTGAGGCATTTTTTTGAAAGGATGTAGAATTCATTGAAATAGACAGATCCACCAAATATCGCCTGAATAAAAGTTTCATAATGAGGGAGATATTATCAATTGCACGATTCATGAATTTTAAGAGAAGTATATTACGCTCCTGACCGTACGAATCTCTGATCGGTGATTACCCGACTTATCCTCCCTTTCCCCTACTACTGCCCATTGTAAAATTTGGTTTTTGTGGCGCTACTTATGGGATCCTCATTCTCAGTTGTTTTTTCTGTGCATTGTCATCAAACAATGTAGCACGTTTACGAGAACAAAAAACTTGTTTACATGATTTCAAGTTATGGTCAGTTTCGTCAAAATGTAGCAGCAGCATTTCATTTGTATACGTAAAAATTTCCGTCGAGAAATCATCCAACACAGCGAATGTTCTTCAATTTGGTGCAAAAGGTGCGATGAGACAGGGTGTTTGATGGAACAAAGAGGTGTAGAAAGGCTTGAATCACCGGAAATGACCGAAATCGGATAAGACATTCTGCTAGATCGATGACGATCCAATATTGAATACTAGGTCCATAGCAGGACAAATCGGAGTGGCTCACAGTGAAGTATGGAGGGCAATAAGACAAGAACCATTCTATACATACCATTATCGAAGAGTACAAGCGCTAGAACCTCAAGATCGTCCTGCGAGAGTTGGATTTTGTCTGTGGCTTCTGAATCAGCATCAAATTCACAAAATTCATTTTGGCTTCAGACGAAGCGAAATTTACACGAGATGGAATAACTTTCTCATATATGGGCAATGAAAAATCCTCACACTGTACGCAGAAGACATTTCCAGCAAAAATGTGTATTGAATGTTTGAGCTGGGCTTGTCCATGGTATGCTTATCGGGCCATTCTTTCTTCAGCCCCAACTATCAGGTGAACATTATTTAGAACTTATACAAGGCAATTTTCCCGAATTACTTGAAAGTTTGACTTTTAATGTGAGACAATGTGTACTTGCTGTTTCTACACGATGGAGCTCCTACACATTTCAGACGAGAAGTTCGCGATAGGCTGATATGCGTTGACGGAGTGAGTGACATGGAAGAATTTAGACAGCAGATAGAAAACGCTTGTGAAGTTGTTCGTGTTATTATTATTATTAATTATCAATTAACAAGTGATGAGAATATTGACATTTATGCAAACCAAATCAACAATTGATGGATAAATAATACGCAAGCGCACATGCCCTAAATCTGAACTATCAAAGCAATAACCTTACAAATTCGTTGTTAACAATTTACATGAGGAGCTAAAATTTCGAATTTCATAATGTTTTCTGATCTGGAAGAGCCTGGGTTACTTTTATCCACAATTATTCTGTTGATTGAAATTGTTTTATGTTAAAACAAATTTCATACCATCTGTCAGATATCAGGTCTGACATTGGTCTGACCAATCCATGCCTTCTCTACCAGTCGATGAAACCAATCCGCGATCATCTGCGTATTAGTTGCACACTAGAAGAAAACCTGGTTCAATCAAAGTAAGAAAGTTAAAAGTTGGCCAACTTCTTTACTTGTTACTAAACTTGTTAATTGATAATTGTTAAATGATGAATGTTATTTGATAATAATGGTTGAATGATGCTTCATAAATTCACCTTTACATCAAACGAATGGGGATAACTTCGAGCAATCTCTGTAAATATACCACGACCTTAGTAGGGTTTTTTAACTCCGATATTTTGCGATTTCAATAACGTCAATTCTCACCTTCGAGAACACCCTGTAAATAGACTATATTATATCTTTATTATCCCAATACCGACCACGTCCAGCGCGTTGATCGTCGTATCGTCCCTGGACGCCGCGTTCGCCCCGTCCTCGGGACACCCTCCGTCGCACATGCCCGCGAAGGCGGCCATGGAACGGGCGGCCCGCAGGTACATCAACAGGTCCGCGTCCAAGGTCACCGAGGGCAGCCAGCGCAGCTCTTCGCGCACGCGCGTCTGCTCCGGATCGGCGGGCAGCCGGTCGGGCGACACGGCGGGCCGGTAGTCGGGCAGGCGGGCCTGTGAGAAGCGCAAGAATTCGAATGACCATGAAATTGATAGATAGATAGATAGATAGATAGATAGATAGATAGATAGATAGATAGATAGATAGATAGATAGATAGATAGATAGATAGATAGATAGATAGATAGATAGATAGATAGATAGATAGATAGATAGATAGATAGATAGATAGATAGATAGATAGATAGATAGATAGATAGATAGATAGATAGATAGATAGATAGATAGATAGATAGATAGATAGATAGATAGATAGATAGATAGATAGATAGATAGATAGATAGATAGATAGATAGATAGATAGATAGATAGATAGATAGATAGATAGATAGATAGATAGATAGATAGATAGATAGATAGATAGATAGATAGATAGATAGATAGATAGATAGATAGATAGATAGATAGATAGATAGATAGATAGATAGATAGATAGATAGATAGATAGATAGATAGATAGATAGATAGATAGATAGATAGATAGATAGATAGATAGATAGATAGATAGATAGATAGATAGATAGATAGATAGATAGATAGATAGATAGATAGATAGATAGATAGATAGATAGATAGATAGATAGATAGATAGATAGATAGATAGATAGATAGATAGATAGATAGATAGATAGATAGATAGATAGATAGATAGATAGATAGATAGATAGATAGATAGATAGATAGATAGATAGATAGATAGATAGATAGATAGATAGATAGATAGATAGATAGATAGATAGATAGATAGATAGATAGATAGATAGATAGATAGATAGATAGATAGATAGATAGATAGATAGATAGATAGATAGATAGATAGATAGATAGATAGATAGATAGATAGATAGATAGATAGATAGATAGATAGATAGATAGATAGATAGATAGATAGATAGATAGATAGATAGATAGATAGATAGATAGTGACTATGCTGGGGGGAGTTGTCCATTCAATCATGTAATACGGATCTCCAGTTAAAGTAATGAAGTGAAACTAATGATGAACATCCTGAGTGAAGAAAGAAAGTCAAAAAGTGAGCAATACTACTTCATGCTTTGCTCATCTGATAGTTCGAGGACAGAAAAGATTGGTCATGCCTAATATGTGGAATTATTGCTCGTGGGTATAAAAATTTTTTGAATACTAATAATACAAATTCGTCTTTCTGATCTAAATTGTGAAGCATGTCGGAATGATGTATATGTTAGTGACATTCTTAATACGCATGAAATTAAATATATTGAATGAGTTATGTGGTGTAGTAATCCTGAGATTCCTGAGTAACCTAATATTATTGTGTTGATGTGGTTCTTTTTACTTAGTACACCACAATGTGTTAACATAGATCAAGATGGATGCTAAAGGAGCTACAGCTGTTTTGAAAATCTCCACTAAAGATGTTTGCAATTATTTTCTTGAATTCTAAATGCTATAACTCAAGAAGATGAAAATTGCTGTAGAAGCCGAAAGCCATTCAAACACCCTGTATGATTTAACAAAATTTGTGTTCACAAAACACTTGTAGGGACTGTACACAATTAATTTTTTATTTAAAACGAGAATGGTATGGCGAATAATGCAAAACGAAATAATGTATCTGTACAGGGTGTTATGCTTCGAGTGTAAGCATCGTATTTTGGGGTGAAATGAACGATTCCTGTAATCAAAGTTTCATCACAAAAATGAGCAATCCGCATTATGAAATATTTTATTCTGAAAACTGATAGATTTTTGTTTTTGTTCATGTCTCAGATACCCGTATAGAGAATTTCATCAAATTCCATGTACAGAGTGGATCAAACTGAATACTTTAAAAACGATAGTACTATTAATCGGATTTACGAGGGCTCAAGTCGGTGCCAAAGGGTCAATTTTCAACAAACTCAATGACGAAAACTGTATACTATTAGTGTTTATCAAAAAATGTGAATTTTTGAATAGCGATAAACTTTTTTGGCAGAAATTTCGTCCTTTTTATGATAATCTCGTCTGACTTTGATGACTTTTTTATAAAAGTCATGACTTATTACAATCCTGGTAATGTGTAATGTTCAATATATCATAACAATGTGGTGTGATATTCAAATTTCGCAAAAAATTAATGTTTACTCAAAGTAAACGTATTTCTAGAAATCATAATGATAAATTGCAATGTATTTCATGTTGCGTATTTTGATATTAACAAGATTATTATTATTGAGGTCAAGATTTCCATTGATGTTTAATCTTGAGGATAAATAATATAAAACATAAGAATAATCTCAATGTAATAACATGCATAGCAATAAACAATTTCCTGAAACGATTTTGGGCACAAGTTTCAAAATTCTTATACCCTGAACAATAAACAGGAATATTATTCTTGCCTGAACAAAATACCATATACATTTCATGTATGTGTCTGTTGAACAGAATCAACCTCATCCCTCAAATAAACTGCTCAACCCTGGAGACGTAAAATCGAAAATGTTCGATCCATTTTGATTCATCTCAACTTTTGACTGCCCCAACCGTTTTTCAATTTGTTTCTGTCATTATCCAGAGTTTTATCAATACCTATAAATTATTGAAAAATTGCACAGCTTTGATTATCATCCTGTAGAATCTAATTCTGAAGAGATGCAACAATCATTTTCATAGGTTCAATAGTCAATGGAACGAACCTTCAGAAACTGGAAGGAAATTGAAAATCGATTAGGGCAGTAGATGTAGATATGATGAATCAGAATGTTGTGTTGAGCAGTTTATACAAGGTGAGTCATGAGGAACTGTACAGGGTGATTCACCATAAATGTCCCCCCCTCTAGTTCAGTTATATTTGTACAGATTTCAAAATTTTAAATATCATCTCAAATGATTTTCGATAAAGTTGTTTTCCGCTACATAAAAAAATACAGGGTGCTCGAAACAAATGATCTACAGGGTACTATTTGATTTTTTTTAATGGAACACCCTATTTTTCATTGTATTTTCAGATTCTCCCTGAAGAGCTGATTTGATCAATGCATCACACTTGGGGTCTAGCGGGAATGATTACAGAGATATAGGGTGTTCAAAATCGAGATTTTTCAACTTTAGGATTTTTTTGAGACGAAACTATTCATCATCGGTCAAAATGGCTTTCATGTCCATGTCTTAACTTTTGATTCACTATCTACTGACATTTAATGATTGGGACAGATACAGGGTGATCAGAATTCTGAATCTTGAACCACCCTGTGAATGTTCCAATTAAATGTCAGTAGAGAGTAAATCAAAAGTTAACATGGAAACATAGAAGCCGTTTCGACCAATAATGAATAGTTTCGAGACAAAATAATCCTAAACTTGAAGAATCTCGATGTTGAACACGCTATATCTCTGTAATCATTCCCGCTAGACCCCAAGTGTGATACATTGATGAAATCAGCTCTTCAGGAAGAATCTAAAAATACAAATAAATACAGGGTGTTCCATTTGAAAAATCAAGTAGTACTCTGTAGTAGATCATTTGTTCCGAGCACCCTGTATTTTCTGATGCAACGGGAAAAAAAATTCTGAAAAATCATTTCAGATTATTTTTCAAATTTTCAAATTGGTTCGAAAATAAGTGAGCTAGAGGGGGGGACATTTATGGTGAATCACCCTGTACAGTTCCTCATGACTCACCCTGTATCATAAAAAAATGGGGTCACAATGTTCTCACATAACGAAGGATATTTTTTGTGTAGAATTTTTTTGAATAAATAATAATATGTAGCTGCACGATGGATTCGCTTCAAGGCAAAAATAATATTGGCTCCACTGATTTTTTTTCGCAACCCCGCAACCCTACTGAGAAATTTGGAAAGAGCCTTTAAAATTTTGGAAATTTACCGTGTTTTTCGTCTGTCAACGTACATAAATGTCTTTTACCTGGTTTCCTGGACCCACCCTAATTTCGCCTTGCGTAGTCGCCATCGTATGACGTTGCTCGTTCGATTTTTTTCCACTGTTCACAGACTGCACCTAAGAAGGTAAGTACCGGTTCGCTCCATTTTTTTCTGAAACGAATAATTCGATCAATCTGGTACAAAGCCATAAATTCTAGTTAATCGAATGGATAATAATTCTATGATCATTTATAATTACATTGAGATCACAATAACAGCAATAACATTTCTACTGGCAGTCGTAAAAGTTATGGAACGATTTGATGTCCTTGTTGATGGAATATCTTGTTTTGCAGGTTAAAACGAGGAAGGTGAATATTAGAGTCACTGAATGGTATTAGTTAGAGTTCCTTAATGTACTTGACACTGCGCTGTTTTGACGTTTTTTGTATATAAGAGTACGGACACTATAGGTCGCGTGCAAGAACTGTCAGATGACCGACCCTGGAGGCAAAACATATTTGTTTACAAGTGATCGAAATAGTTTTCCACAATTATTTTGGCATATGAATCGTATTTTTCCGCTATTCATCAATTCGCTAATGCCATCACATTGTGCTGTTGTAAAATGCACAAAAACTGCAGCGGAAGATGAAGAAATCCGGATGGTACAATATGATTCAAAAGTAAGTACCTACTATAGTCATTCACATAGTTTTCATTTTTGAAATTTGGTTATTTCTGATTTCTCATCGGAATTCCTTCTGCAATAGGATCAGCTAATAGAAATATACCTGAAATTTATAGAATAATGCAAGAAGATTGGATTCATGCAATCAATCGGTAGGACTGGTCTGACATGCTGACGATCGTGTGTGTTGTAGACATTTTCAATCTATTAGCAGCATTAGCTTGTATTGCAGAAGTGGCAGAAGGCAGAAGGAATTTTAATAAGGAATGACAACATTTCATAATGCTAACTACCTATGTGAGATTACTATTTACCTGAAAAATCATATACCCTAGTCTCTTGCTGCATTTTTTGTGCATTGTACAACAGCACAATGCGAAGGCATGCTTGAATTGATGAATAACGCAAGAAACACGATTCGTATGCCAAAATATTGTGAAAAACTATTTCAACCTTTTGATTCCTCTGTAACCAAATAAAAAAGTGAGGTTGTGTTTCAATAATTCACAGAAGAATGAGGTTGTGTTTCAATATTTTGCCTCCAGGGTCGGTCTTCGTGCACGCGACCTATAACAAGCACTGACCTCAGATGCACTGACAATCAGACATAACCACAAATAAATTGATGGAAAAGCGGGAACTGACAGTACACGGACGTACATGACATACATTTCAAAAGTTTTTCATATTGAGACAAATACGGGAAAGATGCAAGTTTCTGCAGTTTCCAACTGTGAGAACACGGGAAATCAATTCACTCTATACGAATTTCCATCGGATAACGTTATTCTATTATAAAGGTTCAGGCCACAAAGGATATAGAATATTTTTCTACGCATTTTTATCAGGTATACTTAAGAACGGAAGATTTGATGTTGAAGAATAGGATCGTATTGAGAGAAAGTGTCGAACCCACAATTTATAAGTACATACCAACTTGATATCGACCTCCATTGAGGTTCTTCAGCCTTATCATTCAATATTTCGACAAGAAAAAATTTTCTAATCAATTTATAGTACCCTTTTACCCACTCGAGGAGACGCTATGTACTCTCATACAAAAATCAAAGACAGAGAAAGATATATGGATGTACTCTTCCCAGGACTTGTGAAGGAAGGGAGATGCGAGGATCTTTTTTCAAAGCAAAAAACATTTTCTTTTAATTGTCTGGTAAAACATATGATTTGCTTCGAAATCGTTTGTGGTTATGTTTTATTGTCACTGCTTGTCCAGTGTTTGTACTCTAATATACAAAAAACGTCGAAACAGCAGTGTCAAGTACATTTAGGAACTCTAGGGTACAGTTTCACCTCGAGTTTCACAAACAATAAGGAACTATAGCTATAAGTATATCTATATGTGTCCAGTAGTGAATTCGATGTTCCGAATTCGAATACAATGAAATTTATTTTAACATTGTCTCCTCAACGTCGATGATACCATGGCGACTGGCGAGCAGTGTATATCACTGAAAATTAGGTCAGCGAGTGTATTGGTATATCTCTCGCTTCTATGAGTTCAACAATAATTATTTCTTAATAATCACGGATTTTACTAGAGTGTTTCCATAAGAACACACTGTAGAATATGAGAAATGTATGGCTGAGGCATTTATAAGTACAAGGTGACCCATTTCGGCCATATTTGTACTAAATTCAAGATCGAGAACGCTAGTTGATGTAAAACATCCAAGGAATTCAATTATGAATATCTTTTACCTAGTTATTGATTTCATTCCATTTCTCAGTAACTTGAGTCGAACCATCACAAAAACACGTAAATCTACAAACAACTGTTAAGTACAATTTAACGAGTAGATACACCTACTTAATTATTACAACAATAATAATAAAATATCACTATCTGTTCAAGTCGTTTGATGATAGCTTGTAACGATCATTAGAGGAAAAAAAGAGTCAATTATCAACTAACATGAATACTTGATCGAGATAAATTGGTTGGCTTATGCTAAAACGTGTCTACAGGGTGTCACAGTGAAATGGCCAAAGGTATGGGAACAATATTGCAGGTAGACCTACAGTGTGTACACCCCTGTATCTTACGTAATCGTTGGTTAAGGATCCTGAAATTTGCTGGAGCGAGAGATATACCAAAAATGCACTCTATGACCAAGTGGGGTCATCTTCAGTGTTATACACTGCTCGCCAACAGCCATCAAACCAACCCAATTTCCGGAAAATGATATTAGGAGTCAAAATAGGTCGGAAATCACTTCAGATTCTGAATCAGGACGCCCAATCCACTAACTTTTCAAAGTTTTTAAAAAAAATTCCAGATCAGAAAAATCAAATTTGGTCTCACTTCTCAAGGAAGTAACCCCGTATTTCACGTAATTATCGAGGTAGGGTTCTGAAATTTGCAGAAGGAAGAGAAATTCCCAAGACAAAGTCAATTGTGTAAGATACGGTGGTGCTTTCGTAATTTTTTCCTGGAAAAATATGAATAGTTAGTGAATTGGGCGTCCTGATTGCGAATCTGAAGTGATTTTCGACCTATTTTGACTCCTAATATCATTTTCCGAAAATTGGGGTGGTTCCATGGCTGTTGGCGAGCAGTGTATATCACTGAAGATGACCCCACTTGGTCATAGAGTGCATTCTTGGTATATCTATATCTATATAAGTGGGACACACTGTATATCAACCCATACAATTTGAACGGAAAAATCACAGCTGTAATACATTTTAGAGAAACAAAAGATACCTCGAATGACAAAAGAATCATAATCTCCGATTTCAACAATACTCGTCCGCCATAATGGGTCCGCCAGTTTGAATTTCCAAATTTTTACGAAAGAATCATAATCTCCGATCCCGAGAACCACCACATACCAAATTCGAATAAAATCGGAACCTAATTACCAAATCCGCCATCTTGAATTTCTTAATTTTTACGAAGGAATCATAATCCCTGATCACGAAAACCCCTAGTTACCAATTTTGAAAAGAATAGGATTATAATCACAAAACTCGTCCGCCATATTGGTTCCGCCATCTTGAATTTCCAAATTCCGCCCGAATTTTCAAATTCTGACGAAAGAATCAAAATCCCTATTTCCAGACTCGTAATGAAATATACTATGGATGAATCAATTCAATAGGCTTTCGTTCTGTGCTGCAGTGATAGCAATAGCTTGTTCAATTGTTCATGTTGTCGTTCAGTTGTCAATTCGTTTGTTTTCTTCCACCACACGATCAATTAAGTTACCATGCTCGACCGAAGAGCTTATTCGATTTTTATGGAAATTTGGCGCGACAAAACCAGCATTCTGGAACCGTGACAGAACTCGAAACAACTCTCATTTTATAAACAATGGGGAAGTTTCCTATATTGAGGTTTTTATCTAACTGTGAAGTTTGTAAAAAATTAATATATACGTATTTTTTCTTTTTTTCGTAAGATGAAATTTCACTTCAGAAAAAAATTAATAAAAGAGGAACTTGGCTCCTCCACCATTCCTATGACGTATTTTCTGAAAATCCACATTCACACAGAGTTAAAATATGATTGCCTGTGTCAGTACGACGTTGCCGACATTATCATTATGTCTAGATCTTCGGAAATTGTTCTTTGAATGCATAATAACTATATCATAACAGCAATGGGATGTAAATAGGTTCTTCAATCCTGCTTTGTCAAGTATTATGAGTAATTCCCATAAATCTCTCGTTGGCTGAATGAAGTTGATTACTAATATAGATAAATTGAGATATTTTGCGATAGTATCTATGATTTTTCACTATCGTTATATTACAATATGTTATTCATAACTTGTCAGTCATTTTTTTGCTAATGAATTCGTTCCTTAATAAAACGGATCTATTTTCTAGGATTGTTGCAGATTATATCTTGCAACAGCGCATAATGGGTGCCGGCTCCATTCTGTTCTGACCGATGGCAGTAAATTAGGAAGGATAGTATCATTGAATGTAGCCGATAGTGATTCATTGAATCAATGACATTTCCGTTTAGGATCGAGCTCTATTCGAGATATTTCAATGCATGAATAGAAAAACCATATCTTGTCAGAATGAAGCCAACTACCCTCATGTATGTTTTTGTCTACCAATTTTACTTCTTCTTCTATTTTTTTCATTCGTTTTTCATTCGATACCTATTCGCTAGCTATATTCTTCACCATCAGCTATTTTCAGACTAGATTCAGAATGTACGTCACAGTTTGCCGCCCCGAAAATTAGAAATTGCTTGAATTTGAAAATGAAAACGACTTGGACTTTATCGTTCGCCATTCCGTACAGTGTGGACATAAAACTGGATAGTTCCGAACTTATTTTATGAAAATTCATCTGAAGGAAACTTCCTCATTACGAATAGTGGACGTGAGAAGACATTAAACTAACGGATCCGTTTTTTCCCTAACGTGATTCTACACCGATAAGAGCGACGGCAATTCGGAAGCCATCTTGGGAGGTTTATTATGCCCCAGGGAAATTAGAACTATTGGGATGGACTCGGATGGGCCTTTTGAAATGTTTGACATGGGTTTATAAATACTGTCTGTAGGTTAATCGAGGTGGTGATACTTTTATTTTTCCAGATTTTTTTGGGTTTATATCAACTGAACAGGAAGAAATGCTATGTGTCTCCGTTCATAGGAAAAGAAGATAACAACCAAGAGAAAAACCAAGGAATCTGCTTGCCAGTGGCGGCTCGTGACTTTCATGACAGAGGAGGCCGAATGATATGAGATTTAATGTGAAAAACAACTCTCTACTCACCCAAATCAATAGCTTTAATGATATTCTGTTTACCAGTTAACCTGAACTTAATACTTGAAGAGATGTGTTCCTGTGATTTGCAGTGTCTATCCAATCCGCGAGGCAAATTTTTCAAATCATTATATCCTAATCGCCCCCAACATGATGACTTATCGGTTGAAAATAATACGCAGTACCAACAAAATAGCTTATTCCTTACCTCAGATCCCGTCAACCAGATATATTTTTTATAATTATCAGAATTGAACGAACGATTTTGTTAGGGACCACAATCAGATTTTTTAATTCCGGTGTCAGACGTTTGTTTTTCACAATCAATTTATCTTCATAAGACAAAGCACTGAATGGGTTCACCAAAAAGTATTCCACTAAATAGCAATCGTTCAAAACACTCATTTTTCAGAAATTTATAGAGCCCCTAACCATTAACCTAACATAAACATAAACAATGCAATACACGTGCTATTCGGGCGTATTCGGGCATTTGCATTGGGCGCGTAGGTTGCGCGATGTGACGGAGTCTAGCCTCCCATAGATGTTACCAAGTTGAATATTTTACGCGTGATTTGCAGACTTCAACGAGTGATGCGTGGGCAAGCACTGTTGCCAATTTAAAAATATTTACCTAAAGACAGGAAATAAAATCCAATCGCAAATAAATTAGTATCGTTAGATTCGTCAAAATATCCTTTTTTCGGAAAGTGCTTGTCAAAAAATGGTCGCCATTTGAAAAATTATAGTTAGACACGAAAATGTTATTTTGCCAACTTGTCTTATTCATATCTATCATACTTGTCACTAAAACTTCGCGATTGTAATTTTCTGATATCACCTGAGGTCTTTAGATTAGTTTACTTCCGATCATGGCCACCTAGATGTAATTTCAAAAGTGACTCCAAAAAAATTTAGTAGGCATAAAAACTTTCGAAAATGTCACATTCCGATCTAGAATTGTGTCAGAAATCCAAAAATGTTACAATATACAGGGTGTTCTATTCAAAAATTTAGAACCGGAGCCATTTCCGGTGAAACCGGAAGTGACCGGGGAGTGAAAAATATGTGAAAACTCTCCTCTTCACATACCATTTTCCTATACCAAATCTTATTTTGATACACCTAATGGTCTAGAAGTTATGACTTGTCTAATAGATTCGTTGACACCCGGTATAACATTTGGAAAAACACATTTTAGTCCAGGATGTGCAAAAAAAGAATATTAATGTGAACCAATACCCTCGCCAACACCATCAATCGGTTGGTAGGAGGGTGCTAGAGGATGAATTACCAAGATAAATGAAATTGAATTACCTACAGAGTGTCCTGTAAAGACAGGTCGAATACTTGAATTGTGAAGGTAAAAATACGAGCAAAAATAGGTACAAATAATACTGCGATTTTGTTTTTTTCCATAATTGGTCCCATTATAGAAAATATTCGCCCATTGAAAGGTTGTTGCAAAGGTTTGCGTTTTTAGTATAATCTTTAGTCACGGCCAACGCTGATTGGATTTTGAAAATTGGTGGGTCCAAGAATCTATACCAAATTGTTCATTAATTTTTGACGAAACAACTTTTGTTCCACTTCTGGTTTCACTGGAAACGACCCCGATTTTTCATTTTTAAATGGGACACCCGGTATTTCATTCCATAATCGGTTAAGTATTATCATAAAGAATTCAACGATGTACCGGATTTGATAGGGATATTTCAAACGATTACGAAGATATTCGCGTAAGTTTCCATATGCTCAATGAGTGTGACAGAGAAAGAAGTTTCGATATCGCGCCGTCACACCTATTACCCATTGAACATATGGAAACTTCGAAAATATCTTCCGGATCCTTTGAAATAACCCGGTAACAAATTCAGGGATACCGGGTTTGATCGCCAAATATCTTCGTGATAATCCCTAACCGATTATGGAATGAAATACAGGGTGTCCCATTTTGAAATCAGAAGTTACGGTCGTTTCCGGTGAAACAGAAAGTGAAAGAACAAAAATTGTTTTGTCAATAAATGAGCGACTTGATAGGTATATACTTGCTACAATTATTGCTACCCACCAAATTCCAAAATCCGATGTGGAATGATTCAGAAGTTACAGCACTGTTTTGATGAGAATGGAATTAACTTGATAATATTGGATTCATCCATCAGCTCCTTTATGACAATGCGAATTTCTAATGGAATATAATAAAAATTGATTCAAGCATTATCTAACTAGGTACTTAATACCTAGCATGGGAGTAGTCCATTATGAAACAAATTACCTGTCTAATATTGAGGAAATAAAAAACATAAGCATGTATGTACCTACTCATGTACTTACCTAATTAGTATATATCCACTATCTCTGTGAATTTCAAATATTTTCGAAAAAAACAATCTCACAAAATTGATTATAGGGACGACAATAATTAGGTAGGTAAATAAAACATTTATGGCTCATTTATTGCCATTTCCTCATGTGAATATGAGCCTAATAGGTGCCTACTATCATGAGTGTGATTAGTAGGCACTTAAAATTAATTGATAATTCATTTACATATTGTAACAAGTTTTCAACACTGATGTACAAAAAACATCAATCCATGAAATCAATAAACAAACAGCATACTTTCACAGTAGGAGCTCTGTGGTATCATTCCAATGAAAATCATAATAAATGCATTGACAAATAAAATAAGCAGTACTGAACGAGCTAATTTTAATTTTATGGTGCTTTCAAAGTTTATGGACTATCAAAAGGATCATAAAATATTCAAGAACGGTACACTTGCCAAGCTGATTAAACAGAATTATCGAATTACTCATTTTGATTTTGACGCCTTTTTACCTCAGGATTCAGGAACAAAGGCGACACTAGTTAATAAATGCCATTTAATAAATTCACTCAGATTCCAGTTTGTTGCCAAACGATCCTCTAAAGTGGCCTAATAAAGGACAACAAAAAGAAAGGTGGACAGTTTGAGTTTGGGAAATGTGAATGGTCATAAACATTTGTCAAATTACTACACCCCCCACTACCAATCAAGTTGTATACATTTCAATTGAACCTGCCATTACCCTAATCAGCATATTATCAATTACAAGCTGTCTGGAATGTTTAATAATACTTTATACATAAATGTGTCCCAGAAATAGAAGATAAAGCCCTGAATTTGATCTCAAACATGAACCACTCACCTCTGCTAACAGCTTCCATAAATTGAATTATTTCTCCATTTGCACCACTAGCAATGTAATGGAAAGTCACAAAATTATGTTAGAACAGAAAACCACTACGTTTACTATAGAATAAACGCTCCAGAGCATTTATTTATGAGAAAATTTCAAGAAAATCCTCGAAAAACACACCACTACTTTTATCGATCTTTATACAGCCATTTTGCTTAGCTTCCTTCATTATTCTAGTTTTAAGTTGTCCATAACAGCGCCATCTGTTGGGTATCTGTCAGTTTGTTTCATTCAAATTCAAACATATTTGTGTTTTGTGAGTACCTAGCAGTGTTGCCAGATTGTTATATGAGTTTTTTATAAAATGAGAAGAAGTCAATTTGTCAAATGTCGAGGTCGAAGCAGAAGCACGTCGAAGGTCGAGTTTGTTTTTAATCTTGACGTTTAGTTTTAGTTGCCTTGGGGTTTTCTCTGTTTACAATTTACAACTTTAAAATAATCCAAATGAAAATAAGAGAATCACCAGTTTTAGTTGAATAATATCATTTGAAGCTTTTTATAATCCATACAAAAAATGTCCAATAAAATTGATGAATTCAAACAAAAACTGCTCACACTTTTAAATAAACAGGTAAAGGGATCAGCCAGCATGGCTAGCCAATAAAGACAACTAGATTCCATCAAAAACCTCACATAATGTTTATTTACAATCAGTAATGCCTGTTGTTGGTGATTTCAGCCTGCAAAAATTCCTTCTATGGGATTCAATGATGCAAACTATCACTTCTCTCAAGTTCCAACCTTATCCATCAACAGTAAGACAGTTGCAGATGCAGATAGGCCAGCAGATCAGGAAATTTTGGAAAGCATTGAGGCTGCCTTTTTCTCAATGAAGGAAGATTTCGATATATGTAGATTTGAACTAGAAGTAAATTATCATACTTGGGTTTTGATTTTGAAGTTTCTGACTTGAATGTTCTTTTTTTAAGTATAGTATGGCAATTTTGTTATTGTAGAAGTCAAACTCATTTTCAGAAACTTCCAGAAGTTCTAGATTGTGACCAGATCCAGAGAGATTTCAAAATTCTAAAGCAGCAACACCAAGTTGTGTCACAAAAAGTATTACAGTTGATATTGGAACATCAAAATGGATGTAATACTGAACTAGAGAAAATCACAGAAATTCTTGAGCAAGTTAAAGAAACTCTAGATTTATGTCAAATAAGCAGAAAAGAATTGAAAGTTGCTGGCAAACAATTCAGTGCTAGTCTTGGAATATTAGCCAATTACAGAAAACGCAAGCTGGCACAAAATTTATTGAATAATTTGGATATGATAAAAAATCTGGTAAATTCTTGTTTGACAATCCAATTCAAATTTCCTTGTAATAAACTTACCAAGTTTGAATCATTTTTCAGCACAGTTTTGAAAAAAGATGTCAGAATTGGATGAATGATGAAGATTATGCAGGAGCTATAACAGAGCTTAAAGTTTGTCAAAAAACTGCCATCAAATACAGACATTTCAGTTGTGTTGCAGCATTAACTTACAAGTTACAAGAAACATTAGAAAATACAGATTCTCAGCTAGACAGAGTTCTTGCACAAGTCAGTATAGCTATAAACTAAAGATTTGTACTGAAATTACTGGATTTTGTTTAATTTTCTTTCAGACATGTTTTCATTTTGATAAAAATCGTTACAAGAAACTACAGGATGCTTATAACCTATTGGAAAAATCACCAGTTTCCATTATTGATAATTTACATGTTCATTATATTACAGCTATATATAATTCATCTTTCAATGTAGTACATTCTTATATTACCTCAGCTGAAGTCCTGGATTCAACAGAAAACTGTGGGAAAAATCCTTATAAAACCTTATGCCAGGTTAGAATGTTTTTCATCTAATGTCTGGTATATTTTGTAGTTGGATACCATTCTTCTTAATTATTGTTTTCATAGTACTATATGGAAAAACAAGTTTATTTCATGAATTCCAGGCAATAGATCAAGATGTGTTCATTCCATGTCTGATCCAGCTGTGTAAAGTTCTTTTCAAAATTGTGTTGAGCTATCATCAGCTCATGAGGTGGCACAATGACAGTGAAAATGAAAATGATGTTCTCAACATTGAGACCAACATGACCAAGCAAAAACTTGAACATAATCTAGTCAAAATATGGGATGATGTGCAGAGAAAGGTCTCCAGTTTACTCTTGAATGCTGACCTGGCTAGTTACAAGTTTGATCAGTTTGTTCAAATTTTAAGGGTGGTACACAGGTAGGAGACATGAGAAAACACATATTCTCGAACAATTCCATAGCTTTTTTGGGTCTTAGGTTGATACAAGTTGGAGAGGAATTTTGTTCCAGTAAATCTGAGGATTTGCAGGAATCTATAAGAAAGCAGAGTGTGAACTATTTCAAAAACTATCATGGGCAGAGGCTAGATGAGCTGAAAATCTTTTTGGAAAATGAAATTTGGGGAATCTGTCCTGTCAAACCATCTTTTGACATTTTACAATTACAAGTGAGTTATTGATAATGATGATAATGTCATAATATCTGTTTTTTTCCAAAGATTTGCTCTAGGTATTTTTGTAAGTCCTATGTACCTTAACTCTTGAGCAAAATTAATATTTTTTGATATACCTCCTTTGCTTCTCAAAACCTACTTATATGTCCTAATCATTGGAATATTTTGTTGAATCATAGGCCTGTCATGAAACATTTACCATAGCTGCTGGTATATGCAATTTTCAGTCTATAAACATTCCAGAAAATATGATTTGTATTGCATTTGCTTCATAGAATGTTTTTTTGCTTACTATTCAGTTAACATTGGAAAAAAAATGACATCTGCACCTGTTGATAGTGTTTTTCTAGCCATTGAATTAATTTTCTATTGAAATCCGTTCAATATACCGGCGTTTTTCATAAAGTAGCAATTCAAACCTTTTATCTTTATATATCTCCTAATCATTTGACTATTTTGTTGAATCATAGGCCTGTCATGGAAAATTTACAATAGCTGCTGGTACATGCAATTTTCAGTTTATAAACATTTCAGAAAATATGAATTCACAAAATGATTTCTTTGCTTACTATGCAGTTAACATTGAAAAAAAATGACATCTGCACCTGTTGGTAGTGTTTTTCTAGCCATTGAATTAATTTTCTATTGATATTCATAAAGTAGGAATTCAAATCTTTTATCTTTGTATCTCCTAATCATTTGACTATTTTGTTGAATCATAGGCCTGTCATGGAAAATTTACAATAGCTGCTGGTACATGCAATTTTCAGTCTATAAACATTTCAGAAAATACGATTTTTATTGCATTCACTTCACAAAATGATTTATTTGCTTACTATGCAGTCAACATTGAAAAAAATGACATCTGCACCTATTGGTAGTGTTTTTCTAGCCATTGAATCAATTTTCTATTGAAATCGGTTCAATACCGGCGTTTTTTCATAAAGTAGGAATTCGAATCTTTTATCTTTATATCCCCTAATCATTTGACTATTTTGTTGAATCATAGGGCTGTCATGGAAAATTCACCATAGCTGCTGTTACATGCAATTTTCAGTCTATAAACATTTCAGAAAATATGATTTTTATTGCATTCACTTCACAAAATGATTTATTTGCTTACTATGCAGTTAACATTGAAAAAAAATGACATCTGCACCTGTTGGTATTGTTTTTCTAGCCATTGAATTGATTTTCTATTAAATTTGGTTCAATACCGGCGTTTTTTCATAGAGTAGGAATTCAAATCTTTTATCTTTATATCCCCTAATCATTTGACTATTTTGTTGAATTATAGGGATGTCATGGAAAATTTACCACAACTGCTGTTACATGCAATTTTCAGTCTATAAACATTTCAGAAAATATGATTTTTATTGCATTCTCTTCATAAAATGATTTTTTTGTTTACTATGCAGTTAACATTAGAAAAAATGACATCTGCACCTGTTGGTAGCGTTTCCCATATATCTACTACTCATATATGAAGCATAGCTGTCCTCAAAGCGGGACCAACTTCTGTGTCTATAGGAAACGAAGTCGACCAATAGGCGTTGATGCCGACGTAGGGAAAAAATGATACGAAGCTTGTCAAACCAATATGGCTGTTTCCATCCTCCACTTTCCGTCCTTATAGATTCAAAAAGTACCTGTCATTTTGGTCCCATTTTTGTTGAGATCTCGTACAGGCGATGCGCCATATATAGAAATAGTAGATACAGGGTGTTTCTTAAGTACGTGTAGAAAATCCAAGAGCATGTTGCTGACGTCAAAATAACAAGAAAAGTTCGTATGAACATAGGTCCGAAAGTTATCCGTTTCTGAGATACAGAGTGTCAAAGTTGAAAAATTCCCCTAGATACCAAACTTCATTCACATGAATATCACAATTATTTCGAAATTCATTAACAAAAAACAAAAAAAAATAATTCAACTTTGACACTCTCTGTATCTCAGAAACGAATAACTTTCGGACATATATTTATACGAACTTTTCTTCGTATTTTGACGTCAGCATAATGCTTCTGAATTTTATACACATACTTAAGAAACACCCTGTATATCTGTTTTCCTATTTCTCGTTTGCCATTGAAATCGGCTAAAAACCGTTTTTTTATAACCTAGGAATTCAAATGTTTTCGCTACTCCCTCAAAAACTTCAAATTCAATCCACCTATCAGCCCCACCATGGTAAATTATTCCACCGCTTCAACCGAATGCTGTTCCTCCAACCATTCGCAGGATGGCAGCAGCATCATCGGAAATTATTTTTCGAGATACGCGGACCACGGTAGTCCTTTCGATTCCGGTATGAACGACGCGGTTTTCGAGGAAGATATCTTGGTGGGGGAAACCGATGCTTCCGGGTATTTTTCTGAGGACAGCGAGGAGGAATCGGAGGAACTGAGAAGGGAGTTTGTGGATGAATATGGAGAGGAAAATAACAAGTCCAGGTAGGTTGGATTGATTGGGACAGGATGATTATATCTTTTGGAATGATAGTGACTTCTGATCCGGTGCTGTTTCTGAAGAAAACTACGTCTTGAATTAGTTGAAATTCACTTCACCCTTTATAGGGCAGATTAAGAGAAATGAAACATATCGATTTTTTTCACATAAAATGGTTTATTGGTTCATTGAGAAAGTAAAAATGGCATGAAAAAAATTAAAATGAAATTATTTCTATTTTTCCCGAGCAGATCGATATATCGACCAGTATCTCACTAGGCAAAACATTAAAGCAAAAAAACACTGGTTCAAACAAACAATATAAACAGCAAAAAATACTGTTTACTTATTTACGCAGGTCACAATACCTACGTTTTCCACGAGCGTTGTCAACAAACAGCGGCAAAGCCGGCAAAAATGAATTCACAACCTGTTTTACTGAATAATTGAGATAATTGAGGTTATATTGGGGTTACTACTAAATATTATCGTAGCGCAAAAGTTCAGCAACATTATGATTATTTCATGATGATGTCAGACTATTGTTGGTTCTATGTCCCAATTTTCATGAACAAATTATGTCAACTAACAGAAAAAACAGATATTTTTTTCGCAGGTGTACAATACACCTACTTCCGCGCTTCCGTGCTTGACGTACGGTGGTTGAAAATTCATCTGGATTTTTTATATCTCGCGTAAATACAGAAACCGGTTCCATTTCTAGCCAGTGTTCGTTTGCACTAAACAATAGGTATCTTCTGGCGTAATATCAGAATATTCAGAATACATCTCAAATGCACTAGACAATCGAGCACAGGTGGACTCGTTGTACACTGATTTCAGTAAGGCTTTTGATAAGGTTGATCATAACATCCTTATCTCGAAGCTTGCTGGAATCGGTGTGCAGCGAGACCTTTTGAGATGGTTATCATCCTATTTACACAATCGAAGCCAACTCGTGAATCTCAATGGATATAGGTCAGCACCGTTTGTGGTCACTTCAGGAGTTCCACAGGGTTCACACCTTGGCCCATTGTTGTTCTCGGTCTTCATTAACGATTTGATAGGGTGCTTTGAACAATCCAATATACTTTTATATGCGGATGACTTGAAAATTTTTGGAAAAGTAACCTCTGTTAAGGATTGTACGAAGATTCAAGAAGATCTATCAAAATTTTCAATTTATTGCAATCGCAACAGATTGAAACTAAATGTTAAAAAATGTGCTTGTATATCATTCAGCAGAAGCAGTACGCCGATTGAATTTCAATACTCCATAAATGATATTGTAATAAATAGAGTAGATCAAATCAAAGATCTTGGAGTATATTTTGATTCTAAAATGAGTTTTAATCCACATCTAGACTATGTAATCAACACCTGCAGTAGAACCTTAGGTTTCTTTTGCAGAATGTGTAGGGATTTCAACAATGAGGTGGCAATAAAATCAGTTTACTACTCATTCGTTTTCAGCAAATTGAATTTTGCTAGTGTCATATGGAACCCCTATTATAACATTCATAAAGTACGTTTAGAAAGGCTTCAGAATAGATTTGTGAGATTCCTTCATTTTAAAATGACTAATATGTATGTAATAACAGGTATTAGTGAAATTCGCACCCACTATAAGATACAACTTCTCGAACAGCGAAGAATTATCAATTATTTACTCATCATATTCAAAATATTAACAAACTGTTATGACTCACCGAAATTAGTGTCGATGATTTCCTACCATGTTCCTCAGAGGTATACCAGAAATAGAAAATTATTAGCGTGCTCCAATTATAATACAAATTTAGGTAAAAATTCTCCAATGACCAGAATGTGTGATTTATTCAACAAATATTGCAATGATGTAAACATTTTTTCCATATCTTTATATTCCTTTAAAAGAATTACAAAAAATATTTTTATCTCCTAATAGCACGATGATGAGTAATCAGTATTCATTAATGAAAATGCTTACTATTTTTCCCGTATCGTATATATGATTGTCATTTTCATACCTCCTATGTAATTAGGCGTATTTTGTATTTTTGTATTTGTTAGGACATGAATGTTAGCTCTGTAACGGATTGTATTAGTGCATGCTTGTATGGGTAACAACCTGTTAGTATCCCAAATTTTGAATAAATAAATAAATAAATAAATAAATAAATAAATAAATAAATAAATATCAGACCAGTATCTCTTCAATACGATTTTATTTTGGGATTGGTTGAAATGTCGACCAGTATCCTATAAAGGGTTAAGGTTACTTCAGCTCTTTTCTACATTGAACGAGAGAGAGGAAAGTTCTGTCCTCTTCCATCGTTCTCTTTAATGCTACCAACGTGGCCGCATTGAAATATAGAGAGGTCCGATTAATCTTTCCTTGTCTAACATCATATATCTACTACTCATACATGAATCATAGCTGTCCTCAAAGCGGGACCAACTTCTGTCTCTATAGGTAACAAAATCGACCAATAGGCGTTGATGTCGACGTAGGGAAAAAATAATACGAAACTTTTCAAACCAATATGGCTGTCTCCATCCTTCACTTTCCGTCCTTATAGATTCAAAAAGTACCTCTCATTTTGGTCCCATGATATAATCTGTAATTCCATTTCAAAAATTTGAAAGGTTACCAGTCAATGACATTTATGACATAGACATATCACTCATTATAATCTGAACTAACTGAAATATCGCACTAGAACTGAACTGAACCAGTTATTATGTGTTCTTTCCAAAAGAATTTGATTAGAATATGTCAGTTGTCAGTTCAGAAGGAAAGAATATCATTATTCGCGATAGAAAATAAGCTTACGCCACCTATCGGAGTTCTTGAAAGCTATCAAAGCAGCATGCTTACTTTGTTTTCATTAGTTTACTTTTGTTTTTTGTTTGTGCTTATTAGTCACATCATTAAAACAAACCGCTCAGAGTTCAAGTTGTTACCGTCAGGTGGAGTGACCTGTTATTTTCTATCGCGAATAACATCGAAAATAGTTCAGTGGTTCAGGTTAATAGAAACTTTTTTTGGACGAACTCACATCCTGAAGTCCTGCGTATATATTATGAAACATCCTGTATATCTTGATTATTATTAATATTAATGATCTGGTTTGGATTGGCGATTTTTGGTGAAACGGTTGTTGAAGAATATGCACCACCTTTGAAAACGCTCTGTATGAATCGGATAATTTCGGCTGATCAAAATTGAACGTCAGAAAGGTGAGTAATTTTTCCCTTTTTTTCAGCCAAATGAATGCTAAGGAGAGGAAAGAAAAACACCTTCATAACAATTCAATTTTGACAAATACCACCCTTACTGTATTGCGGCAAATGGGGAAATATATCCAGATGTCCAGACTTTTGAAACCTATTGCATATCAGATTATTTCCTGCATGAATCAACTGTTTGATTATTACCTGTATTCCGTCCACTTATTTTTCACTCAAGATCTAGTAAGTTTATATATTTTTATATCATATATCTGAGTTAGAATTACATATTTATACTTTTGATAATCAAAAAATTATATTTATTTGGAATTTCAAGTCAAGATTTGTATTAAAATTGTATGATCTTTTATTTTGACATATACAGGGTGTTTCAAAAAAACCTGACCCTCTTGCTAGGGTAGGTAGAACACTGCAAAATAAGTTGGATTTGCTCAGTAAAAAATGTCGTAACGGCATCCGTTTTCAAGATACAAGGTGTTGAAAAAATTATTTTTTCACACATTTTTCACGATTACGTCGAAACTACTGGCAACATTGTGATAAAATTTTGTATGGATGTTTTTTGGAACCTGACACATCGCATGAATTTGTTTTTCTATCTGACTCTCATAGATGGCGGTAGTTACATGGTACATACCAAGTAGTTTCAAACATACATTTTTTGAGGTTAGATTTTTCAATCCAAATATGATATGAACTTGAACATCATTCAATTTTACACCAAAAAGGTACTCCTGGTGAAACTCGATACTATGTTCCGTTTTCGGAATATTTCGATTTGAAAATGATGAAGTGGTAACTGTTGCTGGTATAAAGCTATGTATTAGAGTGAGTATTATGAAAAATTATCACCTATTTATTGAAAACCGAAAACAACAATACATTTCTCATGCAAAACTCATTGATTTAACAATGAATCACAAGAATAACATCGAAACAGATTTGACTAAGAACATGGATTACACAGTTTTGTTGTATCTTGAGCAGAAAGTCTATGCTACATAGGTAAATTCACGTCAAGCGTTGTGAGACATAATTGAACATCACTTTAATGACCTAACAGCTGCTCCTCAACTGTTCAGAAGAATAATTCATTCTTAAAAAAAGAACATAGAATCGTGTATTCCTCGAAACGTAGGACATTTGGAACACTTACTCGCTAACTGATTCAATATTTCATGTTTCTAGTCAAATATCTCTTAATTTTCTACTCATGATTCTTTGTTCCATCAATAACTTCAGCACAAGAATAATTTTATTGTTTTTGAACCTGAATAAATAGGTAATTGAACTCAATAAAATTCATTTTATACCAGCATCATTACTACGCCATTATTTTCAAATCGAAATATTACGAAAACGGAACATAGTATCGAGTTTCACCAGGAGTACCTTTTTGGTGTGAAATTGAATGATGTTCAAGTTCAAGCTCTATGAGATTCAGATATAAAAACAAATTCATGCGATGTGTCAGATTTCAAGACACATCCATACAAAATTTCATTACAATGTTGCCAGTAGTTTCCGAATAATCGTTTTTTTGAAACACCCTGTATAAGTCAGAATTCTGAGATATACATGTAAAAATTCTGGCATAAAGGTATGTTCATGCTTTTACGAATTCCGCAAAATTTATGCGAATCGCAAAATATGAAATTTCCGACAGAATTTGACGTTCATACTCATGCGACAAAATATGCAGGAGATAAGGGTTCTGTTGTGATATTAATTTCTTTATTTCTGGTCCCTCCATTGATAGAAGTTCATCAAATTGAAGGCACGTTATACGAAAGTGAAAATATTTATTAGGGTAATTCATAGTCGCCTTTATCGAACGAGTCTGTACTAATCTCCATTAATTTTTCGGCTTTTGAAAATGCTTCGACAGTTCAGCTCCTTTTTATGCTTCTGGATACATCGATCATTAGTTCTATATAGAGACGATACAGATGATACTTTGAAATTAATTCGTCCAGAGAATCCATCCTGCGAAGAAAATTTAATCAAATGAAGAAATGATGGAATTTTTAATTATAATTCTGTACTTACCTGTAGTCTATTGTCTAGTCTCGTCTTTTTTCGACCTCTGCAGTCCGCTCTCTAATTACCCAATTTTGATGTTATCAAAATAACAATACATTTTATGTGGTTATGATTCCATCCGAATTCGCAAAAAAGTTCAAATATTCCAACTTCATTGCGATATTCGCAGTCGCCATTTTATTCGCATAAATTTTGCGGAATTCGTACAAGCATGAACATACCTTAAATCAAATCATGATTCTGGCATCTATATTTGGATTCTATTCTGAGTCCTCACATATGTGTCTTGAGATGCAAAATAATCCTCTTTGAATGGGAATGAGAATAATTTTGATCTGAATTTTAGATTTTCCTAATTATTGTATGTCAGAATCCTGACTAATAAGTCAGGACTCTGATATATGTCACAATTCCATGTTAGAATAATCATGACAAACAATTATCAGGATCAAGTCAAACATTCTGACTAACATGGAAAAATTCGGACTTAATGGTTTTGTTATGCATGTCAAATTTTTGACATATGTTTGGGTTTGAAATCCCAAATTTTATGACATGTATGTCATTATTCATAGCTGCAGAATCATAGCATTTTAATTCTGAATTGTATGTCAGAATGTATGATGAAATTATTAGTTACAAGTCAGAATTCTGAGTTATCTCAGAATATTCAATTCTTACATGTCCCCTGTTAATCTATGGTGTATCTAACGGAATTTTTACTCGTATAAATTTTTTTGTTGTTGAGATGATTGCCCTTTGAATTTGAGTTATTTTTCGATTGCTTTTTTTAGCCATCATTTTTTTCTCAACTGTCTTTTTGCTATGGTAAACAAATCATTTGGCTTCATTGTTGTAGAGCGTGTCTAGTAGCAGTTTGTATTCACAAGAACTGAACATAACATTGAAAAAGATATTGGACAATTTGATATTAGAAGATGAATTTAAAGACTTGGAAAATAACATCGTTGAAAGCAAAGTACTTAAACCATGTCTGTCGTCGATGGTAGACCTTTCTAAACCTGATGGGCTTTATGGTTTGATGGAGAGAATTGTGGCAGTTGAAAGTTTGGTATTTTTAGCGAAACAGTACGAATTTTTGCAAGATTATTTGGAGTATTTGGTACCCCCGAATAATAGGTTGATGTTGCAACAGTTTTTTACTCAGGTAAGTGTTGAACTTTGTGAAATGTGAACAGGAAGTCTAGAAGAGATTTTGACTCAATGATGTTATTTTGTTTCCAGTTTTTCAACAATTTTTTATCTTCAAATTCATAAAATCACCTATGAAAATATCTCTGTTAACATCATTTGATTTTTTACATTGTTAAGAATGTATCAATCCCAAAATTATCAAAAATTCATAGAATTCTTTATGGAATGTAATGTTTCATTATAAATTGATAAAAAATGTGACAGTTTTTTATAGGAACCTCAACCATATTGATAACATTTCTGAAATTGGATTATGATGAAACTTGAAAATTCATTGACCTACATTATAATGCAACTATACAGTGTGTCCCACTTACCATGCTCACCATGGGTATCTTTTTAACGGTAAGAGATACGAGGTCGGTTAAATGACACCAAATGTGGAGTTTGTCGAGGCCAACTATAATGTGAAAAAATATTTTGATAAAATCTATTCGTTTTTGTTTTATACGCAGAAAACAGATTTTGATCATTTTCATGTCTCCTCCGTAACTTCTTTATTTATGAAAATATTCAAATAGGAATTTCACATTCTCATGGCAGTTTTTCAAAGTGATTTCGAAAAAAATATGAAATTCATATCAATTCTTCTAGAATTTGAGATATCAGCACCAACTTTAGTTTTTCAAATGTAGGTCATAGCTCTCTTACAGATGATATGTCGCACTAATAGTTTTGTGTTGATAACAACGGAGTTATCGTCATTTATACGAAAACAAAAAATTATTTGGAAGCCGCCATCTTGAGTTTATAAATTTTAACAAAAAAAATCATAATCTCCGACCTCAAAAACCCCCACTTACCAATTTTGAATGGAATCGGACCAAATCTTGTCCGCCATCTTGGAGCAACCATTTTTTTTAATTTCAACAAAAATTCCATAATGCATTGTCATTCAAAATTGGTAAGTGGGGGTTTTTGAGGTCGGAGATCATGATTTTTTTGTTAAAATTTATAAACTCAAGATGGCGGCTTCCAAATAATTTTTTGTTTCCGTATAAATGACGATAACTCTGTTGTTATCAACACAAAAGTATTACTGCGACATATCATCTGTGAGAGAAAAAAGTTATTTGTAATTAAATCATAGTGAGCTATGACCTACATTTGAAAAACTAAAGTTGGTGCTGATATCTCAAATTCTAGAAGAGTTGCTATAAATTTCATATTTTTTTCGAAATCACTTTGAAAAACTACCATGAGAATGTGAAATTCCTATTTGAATATTTTCATAAATAAAGAAGTTAGGGAGGAGACAAGAAAATGATCAAAATCTGTTTTTTGCTTATAAAACAATAAGGAATAGATTTTATCAAAATATTTTTTCACATCATAGTTGGCCTTGACAAACTTCACATTTGGTGTCATTTAACCAACCTCGTATCTCTCACCGTTAAAAAGATACCCATGGTGAGCATGGTAAGTGGGACACACTGTATAGTCTTAAAAATTTTGTAAATCTGGGAAAGACTACTTTCTTAATGGAAAATATATATTTTTCCCAACATTAAAAATGGAAGATTCCAAAGGAACATAAATTCATATCTTCCCTCAGATTATAATAAAATATATTCATCATTCCAGGATAAAAAACCAATTCACAATGTATTTCAAAACATTATATTTATTTTGATATACTTAACAGATCAATTTGAAGCCTGTTAAAATATAACCACCATAATTCATATTAACTTCTGGATGAGTCCTATCTGGTAAAACCTGATAATCTCTCATGAAATTATTTGACAATTTAATAGAAACAATATCAACTCTGCTTTTCAAGTAGAAGTACAGGTCTTGCAAAGGTTCCTTCAGCAAACTGAACACCACTAGGCTTCTATTGCCTCTCAAGAATGGCAGAAGAGCTTTCACTATATTCACAGGGTGCTCTTTTGCTGTTACAATGAGAGAATCTACTTTTTGGTCTAGGATTTTACAGGCTCTTTCATTGTCCAATTGCCAAGACTTTTTCTGATTAGGTTCTTCCAGTCTAGCTTTCTTTGATGTTGGTTCACTTTCCTCATTGTTTTTAGCACCATTTTCCAAGTTTTGGTCTGTGTTTGTATCACTTTTTGTTTCACTGGAATCACTGAAGCTGTCTTTTTGTTGATAGTAACATCTCAGTACAGAATATAAGTTGACATTGATGCACCTTTCTGCTTGTTCAATTGGGAATTGCATTGCTACAAAACCATTTTTTTGACATTCATTTCCAGGGTGCATATGGATTAGACACCCTGTGGTTTGGGAACCAATAGAATTTGTTATTGCAGCAGGCATCAATCCTGATGTTCCACTGTCATACAACAAATGATTGCCTTAAAAAAAATCATCATGATACTTATATAAGAGTAATTATGATATAAGACATACCTTCTTGATGAATATTGGCATAGGTTAGAATTTGTGATAGATCATCAATCCTGATTCCAAGAGTTTTTGTTGGATCTTGCCTATAAAACATTTGCCCCATGATCCTTATACTTGGCTTCTTAATTTGTATGTACTCAAAGTATTTTTTCTCTTTTTTCTTTATATATTTCTCTTGACTGTAACCTGTTCTCAAACTGAATGTCTTTGAGTTGCTTATCAGCTGTTCCACTATTATATTAGAACTCAATTCTTCATCTTTGAGCTTATCAATATCATCTTTTGTTAAGCCTTGAGATTCTGCATTGTTTGGTATGTGCCTGTTGTCTGCCCCTGACTGTTCTATACTAAGGCTTTCCACGGCAGAATTTGTCTGTTCTACCTTTTCCACTGTGTACAATTTCCGGTTGCCTGGCATGTTTTTCATCTGGAAAGTATCATAATATTTTTCTCCAATTACATTGTCCATTTCTATGTTGAAAGATCCCAAGATCAGCCTGCTGTGTGCTTTCACTTTGTGTAATTTGGTGTAACCCTGTCTTTGGACGACCACAAAATCACCCACTTTTATGGTGTTGGACATGTCACTATCTATTTCCATTTCGCATAAACATACAAATCGTGGACGTGGGGGCAGAAACCTTTGGTGATTATAGGATTTTTTCGTGGTTTTAGCTGATTTCTGAGATGTTTTGTGATCATGAAATGTTTGGTTAGTTTTAGGTTAGGTTACCTCTTCTGTTTTTATGGCCATTTATTACGCTGACAGTGTTGCCAGATGACTTTGCTTTTCAAACGCTCATTTTAGTTCAGGTTCTTACATGTAGGTGGCGACGGGGGCGAAATTGGAACTCTACAGGTTTTGCTCCATCTAAGTATACGGCTAAGCAGTACAAGGAGATCAAATAATTTTGTTTCCCAAAATAATGGTGAAAATTACACTAGGAGTTTAATTAATTATGCAAAAAACTTCAGTAACAATAAGACTTTCTCATTATTATTATAGATGGATTTTGGATTTCCATTAACTACAGTTTGTCACACTCTATATCTCAGCTATTAGTCGTGTGATTCTCACCAAATTCGGACCGGTATGAATAACCATCGATATGACAAGTTTTTTATAGACAAATTCAATTATGAACAGTGCCGTACGTTTTTATTAAAATAAAAAGGCGGAATTTCTTTATGGAATTATATTAGGCATTTTTTAACAAGAAAACTGACCTCATAATATGGTTCTTCATGGTTTAAAACCCTCTTATATGATTTATATATGAAGGGTTTCTATAAACAGGCACATCCAAACTATTCCAAACAGCATTTTATCGACCGTAAATGATTATTTTTAGTCGAGAACCATACAAAAAAATCAAAAAAATATGTTTCCTTGTCGGTTCTTTTCGGAGATAGTCGCCTTTGAAGGTGGGTTTATTCAGGGGACAAATTTATTGTGAACGTCATCCTAATTCGAATAAGATTTGATTGGACAGACTAGCCCTATATATATCAGCTTCTGTTAATATCAAAATTTCCAACGGTAGGTTTAAAAAATGAAGGTCATACCACCAGAAAAAAATATCGATATCGCTTACCTTGCCGTTTTCCATAAAAATTGGTTCTCAACTGATAGTGATGAGTAAATCCTAAAATATGTGCGTTCACCAAAAATGCAAAAGAACAGTGTTGTCATGTTTTTGTCTCGACAATTATAACGGTTGGCCATATACTTATAGGACATACTTTCTTTCAAGAAATACAGTCTCGATCTCCTAAAATATGTACAGGGTGCGTATTCAAATTGGTCACGAATCTTTCCAGAATATCGCCAGTGCTATGGGATTGAGGTATCCAGTGTATATGGCTGTGGTCGCACAAAGTTTTGACCTTAGGCAAATCCTTATTTTGATGTCTAAAATTGATTGGGAAGTAAGAGATGTGAGGTCAATGCACAATTCTTATATTGATTTATTGTTGAAGGTAATAATCGAGATAATAAGAAACTCTCGCAAGAAGTCTTAATGTGGAATTCTTGTATTTTAGGAAGTTCAAATGTTCTCCCAAAGGCTTGAAGACATTTCATTGAGAGTTCCAATATCTTCAGAAGTTTCCAGAAATATTTGGGAGAATGTCGCTCATATAATTACACATACACTAGTTCAGGGGTAATATCCTTTCTTAATCTCATTCAATCTACCTTTTTTCTATTCTGAAATAGAAAGTCATGCTAATTTTCACATGATGGTAAAACTGCTTTTATCATGCGATGGTTTTTTTTTCGGAATTTTTTTTGGTACTTTCGTATTTTTGTCTGTAAAACACGAATTTGATAATGAAAATGTGAACAAACCACTTTTTATCGAGATATTTCAAGAAAAATGTTCGAAATTTCGCCTTTTTTCCCCTTGTGTTGGATGCATTTACATCAGGTACTTGCTCTTTTTATTTTTTCACCTTAAGGACTTACCACCCCTGTAAAATCGTTATTATCCGACCAATTTCAAAAAACGTTTTTTTGTTGGATAGGTATTTGAAATGCCCATCCAACTAGAGAGTGATCTACTTCTTGGACTGTTATCGTGGCCAACTGCGACAAATTTCGATGACCGATATTCCAGAAAATACTATTAGGGATTTTTTTCCACGAAACTTGAGGATGGATTCTCAATCAGTACCACTTGAAATATACCTGTACCGATTTTCATCATCATAAAACACAGGGTGTCCGAAAAAACGAATCATCATTTTCTTCAAATAGGTGATCAGCAAATGTAGTTCTGTGGTTTTTCTAGAAAGAAATAATCACAAATTATCATTGAGGATTATTTCAAATATACCTGTACCAATTTTCGTCATTTGAATATACAATGTGCCTGAGAAAAAAATTAAAAAGGATAGGTAAGCAATATTTTTCATCCTGATAATTCTTCATTTAAAATAAAAAAATGAATCAGGATCACTTGGAACATACCTGTACCGATTTTCATCATCATTAAACACAGGGTGTTCGAAAAATCAAATTAATATTTTTTTTGAGTTGATGAAAAAATATTGCCTACTTTTTCTTTTTAATTGTTTTCTCATACACATCGTATTTTTGAATGATGAAAATCGGTACAGACATGTTCAAAGTGATCCTCAATAATAATGTGTCATCAATTCTTCTCAAAAATACCACAATACTACATTTTCTGATCACATATTGAAAACACCCTGTGTTTTATGTTGATAAAAATCAGTAAAGGTGTTTTTCAAGTGATCGTGATTCAGAATCCATTTTGTGAAAAAAAATCCCTAATAGTACTTTCTCAAATATGGGTCAATAAAGTTGGTCGCAGTTGGCCACGGTTTTAGTTCATGAGTAAAATCACTCTCTTGTTGGAAGGACATTTCAAATACCTATCCAACAAAAAAAAAGGTTTTTTGAAATCGGTCAGATAATAAAAATTTTACAGGGGTGGTAAGTCCTTAAGGTGGACACACTGTTGAAAATAGTGAACAGGCATACCAGATGACGGACATTTAATCAATAGTCAATCCAAATACATTACATACGCCATTATTTCAAATGATATTCTTCTTCTTTTCACTGAATATGGATAAATCTCGATAAAATTATATTTCTAGTTGAGTCAAATAATAGGAAAAAATGTGTCATACATTGTGATATATATTAATTGTCCAATGATGGAAAAAGAAGGGCAAATTGTTCTAAATGCGATCCAGAAGACAGGCGGAAAAGAAGGTGAAATTTGTAACATTATAGTGAAATATCTTGATAAATAATGGTTTGTTCACACTTTCATTATCAAATTCATGTTTTTCAGACAAAAATACGTAAGTACCAAGAAAAATTTTCGAAAAAAGGCCATCGCATGGTAAATACAGTTTCACCAGAATTCCAATAGTTATATGGGATTATAAGGTCATGTTCATTCTCAGATTTTCTGATGCTAAAAAATGTACAAATGGTGGAAGAGCCCTAATGCAGTTGGATTTCGCACAATTTCTTACAAAATTTGAGAAAATATCTTCCCTGAGACCAGTGCCGCACAAGGAATATGTAGAAAATTATGTTAAAGCATACTATCTTCCGGATCCAGAGTTGGAAAAATGGATCAAAGAACATAAGGTAATACAGAGTGTAACATTGGTTCATCCTAGCCATCTATCTCAAAAAAAGTTTCAAATTTTTTTTCTTTGCATTCTAGGAATATTCTTCTAAACACCTTTATGGTTTGGTGAGTTGTGCCTGTCAGAATAATAAAAAAACGAAACAGAGACTACTTCAAGTTATTGAAGACTTTGAAAAAAATCAATTTATCAGGTAACGTTGCCTAATTTTTTCTTGGACTTTAATCCTCATATGTTATTTTCGGAATCATTCTCTCATTACTTGTGATATTGTTATGACATTTTTAATATTTTTCTGTTTATACACCACTCTAGGTATTTATTTATTTGTTAGAATCACACAAGATTTTATGAAGATAATGACAATTGTTGTTTATGTATTTTTTGTCACTTTGGAGTTTCTATTTAGTAAATAAAAAACGAATATGTTTCATTGATAATTATTAATTTCAGCGAGAATATCCTATAATGTAATACAAATATATATGCGTGGCATCCTCTCATTACGTTGTTACATTCTCTCGTAAAGTATTTTGTTCACCTTTTGTTTTTACTCAATGTTATACAGGATGTTTCTTTGGGAAAGGAACATACACTATAAAATCTACAGTTTTCAACCGATGAATTTCTTTGTTATTGCAGCAGAAAGAGTATCAAAAAGTCTAAGTTCAAACAAATTTGCAAAATATAATTCCGATTTTCAGGGCCTACTTTTTTTTTTTCATATATCGAAGACTGGAACCTTTGGCACGATAATACACTACACTGTTTTACCACTAATCAAACCGATTTTTTAACGCCTCGACACACGTGAAGAGGCGTTAAAAAATCGGTTTGGTTAGTGGTAAAACAGTGTAGTGTTTTTTTTCATGTTGAAAATGGTAAAATATCATTATCGATTTCAAGATTATTTTTCAAGAAAATTCGACTACAACTGGTTTCAGCATCCATCATTTAGGTCAATAGTACAATTTCATTGAAAAATTGTGATTGGCAACAAAGTCATAACCATTCATAACATTTGTGCTTACAATGTTGCCGTTTCTTCGAATTTGTCTAAAATATCCATCAAAAATTCTATGTAACGAAAATTAAAGTTGTCAATCAAATTTATTTGATGAATTCTAGTGATTAACCGTATCGAAAGATGCAAAATCAAGTAGTGGAGTCGAATTTTCTCGTTTATAGTTTTTATTTTTAATATTTATATGGTACAGGCTGATTCACCATAAATGTCCCCCCCACTGCTCACTTATTTTTGAACCGATTTGAAACTTTGAAAAATAATCTAAAATGATTTTTCAGAATTTTTTTTCCCGTTGCATCAGAAAATACAGAGTGCTCGGAACAAATGATCTACAGAGTACTACTTGATTTTTTCAAATGAAACACCCTGTATATCATTGTATTTTTAGATTCTTCCTGAAGAGCTGATTTCATCAATGTATCACACTTGGGGTCTAGCGGGAATGATTACAGAGATATAGGGTGTTCAAAATCGAGATTTTTCAAGTTTAGGATTTTTTTGTCTCGAAACTATTCATTATTGGTCAAAACGGCTCCAATGTTTCCATCTCAACTTTTGATTTACTCTCTACTGACATTTAATTGGAAGGCTTACAGGGTGGTTCAAGATTCAGAATTCTGGTCACCCTGTATCTGTTCCAATTATTAAATGTCAATTTATAGTAAATCAAAAGTTAAGACATGGACATGAAAGCCGTTTTGACCAATGATGAATAGTTTCGTCTCAAAAAAATCCTAAAGTTGAAAAATCTCGATTTTGAACACCCTATATCTCTGTAATCATTCCCGCTAGACCCCAAGTGTGATGCATTGACCAAATCAACTCTTCAGGGAGAATCTAAAAATACAATGAAAAATAGGGTGTTCCATATAAAAAAATCAAATAGTACCCTGTAGATCGTTTGTTCCGAGCACCCTGTATTTTCTGATGTAGCGGAAAAAACTATCGAAAATCATTCAAAATGATATTTCAAATTTTGAAATCGGTTCAAAATTAACTGAGCTAGAGAGGGGGACATTTATGGTGAATCACCCTGTACCTACCTAAATTGAGAATCACCTCATTGATCTCTATCTACTGTTGCCGTATATCTCTTTCTCCACGAAAGACCTTGAATTTTCATTTGGTCTTAGAAAACAAATTCTCGGAGGATGCAACAGAAATGATCTAATATGCATTCACAAACAAATAAAAATAACAGATGGTAAATCTAAAGACACATTTATTTGTTTCATGGAATATGCATGAAGTGGAATATTAATTTTACAGTTAATTGAATTTGATTTTCCAACATTCAGCAATGCTGAAAAAAGTCCCTACTATACCTATTACAGGTGTTCGAACTCATCCTTAGAGCTAAATGTTTTACAGTATATTATAATAATATCACAACAATTTACGATGACCTAATATTTCAACGCTAAAACGCGTTACTATAACCCTCTTCTGATATTGGAACCGAATTTTCTCCGCAACATCTGCTCTAGTATGACGTACCTATCTAAAATGTCAAACTACAAACATATACAGTGTGTCCCACTTACCATGCTCACCATGGGTATCTTTTTAACGGTGAGAGATACGAGGTCGGTTAAATGACACCAAATGTGGAGTTTGTTAAGGCCAACTATAATGTGAAAAAATATTTTGATAAAATCTATTCGTTTTTGTTTTATACGCAAAAAACAGATTTTGATCATTTTCATGTCTCCTCCGTAACTTCTTTATTTATGAAAATATTCAAATAGGAATTTCACATTCTCATGGCAGTTTTTCAGAGTGATTTCGAAAAAAATATGAAATTTATATCAACTCTTCTAGAATTTGAGATATTAGCACCAACTTTAGTTATTCAAATGTAGGTCATAGCGCACTATGACTTAGTTACAAATAACTTTTTTTTCTCTTACAGATGATATGTCGCAGTAATAGTTTTGTGTTCATAACAACGGAGTTATCGTCATTTATACAAAAACAAAAAATCATTTGGAAGCCGCCATCATGAATTTATAAATTTCAACAAAAAAATCATGATCTTCGACCTCAAAAACCCCCACTTACCAATTTTGAATGGAATTGGACCAAATCTTGTCCGCCATCTTGGAGCAGCCATTTTTTTTAATATCAACAAAAATTCCATAACTCCGATTAACTTAAAATTTGGCAGGTGTTCATAATTTCGGTGACAATACATCATGGAATTTTTGTTGAAATTAAAAAAAATGGCTGCTCCAAGATGGCGGACAAGATTTGGTCCAATTCCATTCGAAATTGGTAAGTGGGGGTTTTACGAGGTCGGAGATCATGATTTTTTTTGTTAAAATCTATAAATTCAAGATGGCGGCTTTCAAATAGTTTTTTGTTTTTGTATAAATGACGATAACTCCGTTGTTATCAACACAAAACTATTACTGCAACTTATCATCTGTAGAGAAAAATAAGTTATTTGTAACTAAGTCATAGTGCGCTATGCGACCTACATTTGAAAAACTAAAGTTGGTGCTGATATCTCAAATTCTAGAAGAGTTGATATAAATTTCATATTGTTTTCGAAGTCACTCTGAAAAACTGCCATGAGAATGTGAAATTCCTATTTGAATATTTTCATAAATAAAGAAGTTACGGAGGACATATGAAAATGATCAAAATCTGTTTTTTGCGTATAAAACAAAAACGAATAGATTTTATCAAAATATTTTTTCACATTATAGTTGGCCTTAACAAACTCCACATTTGGTGTAAATAACCGACCTCGTATCTCTCACCGTTAAAAAGATACCCATGGTGAGCATGGTAAGTGGGACACACTGTATAGCAAAAATTGGTTCATCAATTTTTCAAAACTAGGCACCAATAAAACTTATAAAATGAACCAGAGAAGACACTGCGTTCTGATATAACAATCCTACAAAATTTCATTGACACGTTTTCATTAGTTGATTCGAATAGCAAGATATTTCGATCTTCTAAGGAATATAGAAAAAATATTTCACTGCATCTGCAAGTGATTCTTGATTTTTTTGCAATCAAAAACAGCCACCCTGTATATCGTCCCTTTGTTAAACTAAAATCACTAATACTAAATCCACATAGGGTACCTACCTACCACAGATACCATTTTCAACCCTTTTCTTTCACTTGAATTGGCACCAAGGGACCATCTACAGTGAAATTACAATAGTTCTCTTAAAAATATATCACTAAGTGGTGAAAATTTTTTAGGTATAGTTTATCCAAAGGCAATTAGTGCGCCTCGAGCAAAAAAAGTCCGCACTTGCAAGATGCTGCAATTGACTTTGGATAGACTATACAGGGTGTTTCAAAAGAACCTAACCCTCTTGCTAGGGTAGGTAGAACATTGCAAAATAAGTTGGGTTTGCTCAGTGAAAAAATGTCGTAACGGCATCCGTTTTCATGATACACGGTGTTGAAAAAATTATTTTTTGACACATTTTTCACGATTATTCCGAAACTACTGGCAATTTTGTATGGATGTTTCTTGAAATCTGACACATCGCATGAATTTGTTTTTATATCTGACTCTCATAGAGGGCGCTAGTTACACGGTTCGTACCGAGTAGTTTTGAACATAACTTTTTTGAGGTTAGATTTTTCAATCCAAATATGATATGAACTTGAACATCATTCAGTTTTACACCAAAAAGGTACTCCTGGTGAAACTCGATACTATGTTCCGTTTTCGGAATATTTCGATTTGAAAATAATGGAGTAATGATGCTGGTATAAAATGAATTTTATTGAGTTCAATTACCTATTTATTCAGGTTCAAAAACAATGAAATTATTCTTGTGCTGAAGTTATTGATGGAACAAAGAATCATAAGTAGAAAATTGAGAGATATTTGACTAGAAACATGAAATATTGAATCAGTTAGAGTAAGTGTTCAAAATGTCCTACGTTTCGAGGAATTCACGATTCAATATTCTTTTTTTAAGAATGAATTATTCTTCTGAACAGTTGAGGATCAGCTGTTAGGTCATTTAAGTGATATTCAATTATGTCTCACAACTCTTGACGTGAATTTACCTATGTAGCATAGACTTTCTGCTCAAGATACAACAAAACTGTGTAATCCATGTTCTTAGTCAAATCTATTTCGATGTTATTCTTGGGATTCATTGTTAAATCAATGAGTTTTGTATCAGAAATGTATTGTTGTTTTCGATTTTCAATAAATAGGTGATAATTTTTCATAATACTCACTCTAATACATAGCTTTATACCAGCAACAGTTACCACTTCATCATTTTCAAATCGAAATATTCCGAAAACGGAACACAGTATCGAGTTTTACCAAGACTACCTTTTTGGTGTGAAATTGAATGATGTTCAAGTCCACATATAATTTGGATTGAAAAATCTAACCTCAAAAAAGTTCTGTTCAAAACTACTCGGTACGAACCGTGTAACTAGCGCCCTCTATGAGAGTCAGATATAAAAACAAATGCATGCGATGTGTCAGATTTTAAGAAACATCCATACAAAATTTCATCACGAAGGTGTCAGTATTCTCAACATAATCGTCAAAACTGTGTAAAAAAAAATATTGCTTCAACACCTTGTATCTTGAAAACGGATGGCGTTACGTCATTTTTTACTGAGCAAACCCAACTTATTTTGCAATGTTCTACCTACCCTAGCAAGGGGGTTAGGTTTTTTTGAACCACCCTGTGTAATGTTATTCAAATATCCAACTTTTCAAGTCATCTGGATCCATCGAATTAATAAAATAAATATAAAATCACAAAAATAAATAATAAAATTATATAGAATATACTTCATTGATGTAGGACTTGAAAAAGCATAAGTAACTCAACTAAAATCTAAGATCTACTCCCATTTCCCCAATTTCCCATGTATATTTGAAGAGTTTGTACTTTTAGTCGTGTCTTTTTCAAATTTGAAAGGATGGGCAAACTAATTTCTCAACATAGGAATTGAAACAATAATTATTGGTGAAAAATAATCATAATGAATAGATATTTCAGTTCATTAAATTCATTTCTCTAACCTAACATAACTTTTTTCGTGACGTTTCTTCTCCGTCGTTCGCGCTGTTGCCAGGTTAACAAAATGGTTTAGGACATTATGAAAAAGTGACTCTTTTTTCTCCCACTATCAAGTAATTCATGGACAACTCCATTGTTCTGGAGTATATTTTCACCCACCCTATACATAGTGTTCCATTCTATAAACCACCGTGGAAACGCTCCGAATTCAACTGTCGACAGTGTTATAGTAATGCCACTACACTGATGACATAATATACAGGGTGCTTCAAAAAAACCTGACCCCCTTGCTAGGATAGGTGCCCTTGGTAAAACTCGATGCTGTGTTCCGTTTCGGAATATTTCGATTTGAAAAAAAAATGATGAAGTGATAAATATAAAGCTATTCATCAGAGTAAGTATTATGAAAAACTATCACCTATTTATCGAGAACCGAAAACAATATATTCCTAATGCTAAACTTATTGATTAAATAATGAATCACAAGAATAACATCGAAACTGATTTAGACTGAAAAAATGGATTATACTTATTGCACAGTTTCGTTGTATTTCGAGCAAAAAGTCTATGCTACAAAGGTAAATTCACGTCAAAAGTTGCAAGACAGAATTGAATATTACTTAAATGACCTAACAGCTGATCCTCAACCGTTTAGAAGAATGATTATGATTAATTCTTGTGTATTCGTGGAAACGGGGGATATTTTGAACACTTACTCTAACTGATTCAATATTTCATGTCTTTAGAAAAATGTTTCTCAATTTCCTACTTGTGATTCTTTGTTCAATCGATAACTGCAGCACAAGAATAATGTTATTGTTTTTGAATCTGATTAAATAGGTAATTGATCTCAATAAAATTAATTTCATCAGCATCAGCTATTACTTCATTATTTTCGAATCAAAAAATTGCGAAAACACTACACAATATCGAGTTTTATCAAGGGTACCTTCAAGATGTTGAATTAATGATTTTCAAGTTCACATCTAATTTGGATTGAAAAATCTAACCTCAAAAATGTTGGTTCAAAACTACTCGGTAAGAACTTTGTAACTATAGCGCCCTCTATAACAGTCAGATATGAAAACAAATTCATCCCAAACAAATCCATACAGAATTTCATTACAATGATTCCGGCAGTTTCGACATAATCGTAAAAAACAACACCTTGTATCTTGAAAACATGACACGTTACGACATTTTTTCACTGAGCAAACTCAACTTATTTTGCAGTGTTTTACCCACCCTACCAAGGGGGTCAGGTTTTTTCGAAACACTCTGTATGAGTATCTTATGATTTCAATAACTTTCTTTCGTATATTGCTTATGCTGCAAACTCAATTCTCGTGGGAAATCACTATCATTCCGTGCTCGTTAAACAATATACTATTTTCTACGGCTAATACAGGGTCGCGCAGAATTCAGAATCTTGATCACCCGGTATATGTCCCAATTAAATATCAGTAGATAGTTAATCAAAAGTTGAGATAGGGACATGTAAGCCGTTTTGACCAATAATGAATAGTTTCGACAAAAAAAATTCCTAAAGTTGAAAAATGACGATTTTTCACACCCTATATCTCTGTAATCATTTCCGCTAGACCCCAAGTGTGATACATCGATGAAATCAGCTCTTCAGAGAGAATCTGAAAATGCAATAAAATACAGGGTGTTCTGTTTAAAATAACAAAGTTGTTGCTACTTTTCGATAGAAGCGGCAACGCCGCAGAGCTGAAAATATTTTAGATCGATAGACCAAGAGCAACTACGTGAGTAACCAAAATTTCAGAATGATTCTATGTCCCATTCTCCATAAACGTCTAACGTACCATCGACCGTGAGTTACCCTGTGTATCTCTGCTCTCGAGGTCTATCACTCAGAGAATTTTGTTGATTCCGGAATGGAAAATCAGCAGATTCAGTATACCGACAGTTGAATTCGTAACTATAGCCCCTCTATACTGTCTCAGAATGAAGTATATTCTCGAACCGATCGTAGGAACTTCAAAAAGGTAATCTCAAAACCCCAATTAAGCCCCTTCGCGACAGCCTCTCGTCAGAGGCACCACCACATTGTCCAGATAAGCTCGCATCTCTTTGGGCAATCGATCGCCCCCACTGGGAATGTAGTTGCTCAACTTCCTGTCCACGTTGAACATGAGATCGCCTTCGGACCACGGGTACTTTTTGGCGCTTTTCCGCCGCACCTGGTTGAACTTGTAGGTGGAGGCTAGGAGGAAGAGGAGGCCTCCGATGAGGAGGCCGTAGACGCAGTATTTCTCCAGCATCGGGAGGATGTTGAGGTACAGACGGAAGCGAACGCCCAGGCTGTCGGGGAGTTTGTCTAGTTTCTGCAAAAGAAGGAGGGGTTTCTTGTTATGAACGATTTATTATGAGTTGCGTGCAAGAACTGTCAGATGACCAACCCTCGAGGGGAAACATTGAAACACAACCTCACTTTTCTTATTCGTTTACAAATGATTGAAATAGTTTTTCACAATTATTTTGGCATACAAATCGTGTTTTTTGGTTATTCATTAATTCGCACATGCCGCATCACATTGTGCTGTTGTACAATGCACAAAAAATGCAGTGAGAGACGAAGGAATCCGGTTAATACATTATGATTTAGAAGTAAGTACCTACTATAGTCACTCACATATAAACTGGTCAACATTGATAACGTCGTGGTCCAAAATACAGTGTGTCCCACTTACCATGCTCACCATGGGTATCTTTTTAACGGTGAGAGATACGAGGTCGGTTAAATGACACCAAATGTGGAGTTTATCAAGGCCAACTATAATGTGAAAAAAGATTTTGATAAAATCTATTCGTTTTTGTTTTATACGCAAAAAACAGATTTTGATCATTTTCATGTCTCCTCTGTAACTTCTTTATTTATGAAAATATTCAAATAGGAATTTCACATTCTCATGGCAGTTTTTCAAAGTGATTTCGAAAAAAATATGAAATTTATACCAACTCTTCTAGAATTTGAGATATCAGCACCAACTTTAGTTTTTCGAATGTAGGTCATAGCTCACTATGACTTAGTTACAAATAACTTTTTTTTCTCTCACAGATGATATGTCGCAGTAATAGTTTTGTGTTGATAACAACGGAGTTATCGTCATTTATACAAAAACAAAAAATAATTTGGAAGCCGCCATCTTGAATTTATAAATTTTAACAAAAAAATCATGATCTCCGACCTCAAAAACCCCCATTTACCAAATTTGAATGGAATTGGACCAAATCTTGTCCGCCATCTTGGAGCAGGCATTTTTTTTAATTTCAACAAAAATTCCATAATGAATTGTCACCGATATTATGAACACCTGCCAAATTTCAAGTTAATTGGAGTTATGGAATTTTTGTTGAAATTAAAAAAAATGGCTGCTCCAAGATGGCGGACAAGATTTGGTTCGATTCCATTCAAAATTGGTAAGTGGGGGTTTTTGAGGTCGGAGATCATGATTTTTTTGTTAAAATTTATAAAATCAAGATGGCGGCTTCCAAATAATTTTTTGTTTTTGTATAAATGACGATAACTCCGTTGTTATCAACACAAAACTATCACTGCGACATATCATTTGTAAGAGAAAAAAAAGTTATTTGTAACTAAGTCATAGTGAGCTATGACCTACATTTGAAAAACTAAAGTTGGTGCTGATATCTCAAATTCTAGAAGAGTTGGTATAAATTTCATATTTTTTTCGAAATCACTTTGAAAAACTGCCATGAGAATGTGAAATTCCTATTTGAATAATTTCATAAATAAAGAAGTTACGGAGGAGACATGAAAATCATCAAAATCTGTTTTTTGCGTATAAAACAAAAACGAATAGATTTTATCGAAATATTTTTCCACATTATAGTTGGCCTTGACAAACTCCACATTTCGTATCTCTCACCGTTAAAAAGATACCCATGGTGAGCATGCTAAGTGGGACACACTGTATAGCCTAAATTCAAAGTAGAATAACACGAATTTCCTTTCCAATTTGGAATCGGTTTTCACCGATGATTAGCCTAATCTCTTGACAGTTTGTTGTGGCAATATGAAACTTCTGTAATTTCAGATAACATTGCTACAGGGTGATAATTGGATGGGTGTAAAATTGCATCGTGGTCGTCACCTTACCGTTTGAACATATAATTTTGTTCATTATTTTCCTCACCTGTATCCTCTTGATTGATGCTTTTCTCTCGAAACCTTTTCGGAATTTTCAAATTCAGAGCTTTGATAATGGTGTTATGAATAGGTATTCATTCAAAATTATGCTTTTTTTCGACGATTTATTGAATGAAATTGGAAGCTGGAATTCTTTTTCGAAGAATCAACGTTGTATGTATATAGTCGTCGGATATGTGATTGTGTTCGAACACAGAAAATTCTGAAGAAGTCTATACAAAGTGATACAAGAAATACTGAATGATGGAATGGAGAATAACGTAGTCTTCAGTAGATGAAACATAATTTTCTCTGTGTTACTAGTGAAATAATGGAGTGTTATTTCGTCATGAGGATGTCTGGTGCTGGTGTCTGACCTCGAAATGGTTTTGTAATTTCTCGGATCGAAGGTCATATAAGATGAAGGTACACATTTTTAATCAAAATGATGCATTTTTGTTAAGATAAATTATGAAATTCAAAAAATTACGATTGTAGTCCCAGAAGTATGAAATTCATATTTTTATTCTTGACGATGGATGTACAAGGTGCGATAAAAAATATGTCCAGATTGTCCTATGAAGAATATGTTTAAACGTGATGAAAATCGCCGAAGAAGAAATATATAGTGTCGGTCATGGGCGAAAATTGTGAAATGTATGAATACAGTAACTTTTTATGATGCTTATACGAGGTAATATATACAGGATGTTCCATTTAAATATTCAGAACCGGATCCATTTCCGGTGAAACCGAAAGTGACCGTATCTAATAGATACGTTGACACCCAGTATATGTAGATTATCTCATGTACATATTTTCGAAATTTATTACAATTCCAACTCTTTTGAATATTTGTGTTTCTTTGTGATTTCTTGGTGAATAATTGATCGACTGATTGCCATGAGAAATATTTGTTAAACGCTTTGACATACTACACATATATTGAAATAATAGTAATCATATTTTTATTTTATAGAAACGAGGAAAGAAAATCCCAAATAATCAAGTAAAGAGAAATATTGACCTTGATTAATTCCTAATTCATACATACCAAATTTGAATTTGGTTCATGTACAAATCTTGAACGTGAACCCAATAATGTTACTTACGATTTCTGTCCACAGCAAAGGCAAGATCATGTTATCAAATCTTTCACAGTTTGCGATTGTTGCTATGTCGCCCAATGCCATGTTGATCTGGTATCTCACAGCCAATTCTATCGGCAAACCTGAATCCTATTGAAAAAAGAAAGAAAATTTAGTCTCCAGGAATCAGCGGTAATAATTATAATTCATGATATCATTACGGACAAATGATAGTACTCTTGGAAACAGTGTTTCCCTTTATCAATAGTATCAGCGAAGTTCAACTCTCATTTGTTTTTTGTGTGTTGACATTTTCGAAATGGGTACGCTAAATCAGTAGGTTCTAGTTTTAGTTTGTGAAAAGTGTTATACAGTGTCATTCATAAAGTCGGCATCATATGGGAAAAACTTTTATTAATGACTTATTTTGAAATTCGAGTTGGACGTTAAGTTTTGCTTTAAACAAGATGAAAAATGGCCTACTCAATCGGGGTCACGTGACTTTCGCTACATGTCAAAAGTGACATTTTTTCAAATTAATCGCAGAAAGTAGGCTTATTTGTTCTAATATCGAAAAAGTTTACTTGAAAAAGTTGTTTCTATTTGAATTTTACATATGTGACTCGGATTTTATCTTTCTATTACATTCTTTAGATTTCGATATTTTTTAAAAATTTTCGAATTTTCTGTAATATTAAAAAAATTGTAAATTCGATAAAACTACCAGTAGCTTCATCATGCTACTTAATTTCAATTACTAATTATCACTAATTATCGACAAACATATGATTTTCTTCAGAAAATGATAATCTCCGCTTCAAAATTCTGTTATGGTTGATGCAAACATAACATCAAAATTATGTTATGTTTGAGTCAATCATTTAGAAACGAAATTCATTTAAATTTATTTTTTCAGTACTGGAAAGATCAGTTTAAATGAATTTCGTTTCTAAATGCTTGACAATATATCAACTTTGCATCAAACTTAACAGAATTTCGAAGCGGGTATTATCATTTTCTGAAGAAAATCATATTTTTGTCCATAATAAGTGATGATAATTAATTGAAAGTAACTAGCATGAAAAAGCTACTGGTATGAAGTAGTTTCGTGGAATTAACAATTCTTCAAATATTACAGAAATTTCGAAAAATTTAAAAACAAATCAAAATCTAAAAGTTGCAATAGAAAGATCAAATTCGAGAAGCATGTGTAAAATTGAAATAAAAACAACTTTTTCAAGTAAACTTTTTCGATATTCGAACAAATAAGCCTACTTTCAGCGATTAATTTGAAAAATGTCACTTTTGACATGTAGCGAAAGTCACGTGACCCCGATTGAGTAGGCCATTTTTCATCTTGTTTGAAGCAAAACTTAACTCGAATTCCAAAGAAAGTCATTAATAAAAGTTTTTCCCATATGATGCCGACTTTATTATGAATAACACTGTATAGGGTCGTGTTCCTTGAAGACATGCTAATATTTGGAAACTTCATATGAACGTATGTCCTCTAAGAGTCTTAAAATTTGAGATACAGGGTGATGAAGTTTTGAAAAATTTTCAGTTTCTAATGAATGAGACAATATTTTATATACATCTTCATGAAATTTGGAACACGTCTCTTATGCATCAAAGTGCATTTTTTGATGTACACAAATTTTCATCTTCTCTACCGCAGTGGCACCGTTACTTGAAAGTGAGCAACGACGGAACATTTTCAAATTTCGTAAAATGCTATGAAAGGCTATTCAACAATGTACAAAGAAGATCCTTTTGTTGATATTTGATAGAACGCTACGTTTCACAGAAAAAAAGGAAAAACGAGACCAGACTTCAAATTTTGATGTCTGCATGATGAAATTTTCATACACATTCAGTCACATAGCAGACTGAATTTCGCCATCACCAAAAGATACAGAGTGGACAAAAAAATAATCTATGCATATTTTCGACATTGACTCCCTGTATCTCAAAAGTTAGGACGTATCCGAGATATGTCGATATAAAGTTTAATTCTTGAAATGGGTCGAATAATCGGCCACTTGAATACTAGCATATCATTAATAGGGACACCCGGTATAAGTATTCGCAGACGTTCAGTACCGTCAAACGGGGCTAAGTGAATCAAAAATGGCACTTTTCACGATATTTCACCGAAAGTAATTGAACAAAAAATATGGAAAAATTAATATAGGTTCTCTGAACATTTCTGTAGCCAATGACATATATATCATAATTTTCCCATCATATTAAGTTCGCCATTTTTTTTATTGAAAGGTGATTCACTTTACCCACCATTGTGGGGTAAAATGAATCAGCGCTTGAAATTCGTCTTTTATTCATGATAGAACAAGATATGGGTAAAGTGAATCGATTTATTTGAAAAAATATTATATTCTGTTGGAAATAAAAAAAATCGGGAGAGAAAAACGAAGTATTTTCATTAGGAAACGGTATATTCAAACATCAATGTACGAATAGATGCAAAACTCATCATAAAAATAAAATAAAAATAAAAAAAAACGCAGTTCTTAACTTGAATCTCACTCATAAAATCACAGAAAAATAAAAGAAATTTCTTCGATATAAAAATCTAATCCTAGGTAGATATAAAGATTATCACAAAAGAACGAATATGAACTAATAGGAACTATAGAGACCCATTGAAAATCCTCATTCCAGAGTTTGGAAGTCTTCGAAGCTGGTATTGAAGAAATGTTGTCCCCTTTTGACATATTTCAGCTTGACTTTTTTGACAACTTGGTTATTATCAATGAGGGAAATATCCTGAATTTCAGGATAAACAAAATATCCTTTTTCAATTCCTTTCTTCCTTAAGGCGTTAATTGTCAGTTCCTGCCCGTCAATATTTTCAATTTTGCCAATGAAGAGTCTCGTCCGCTTCACCATTGGGAATTTGACAATGATGAAGTCCCCTATATCTGGTGTTTCGTTTCCATCATCAGAAACCTCTGTCTCACTTGGCTCCTGTGACTCATCACTGTCATGCGATATGGATGGTCCTGGCATCGGATCCTCTTCATTTTCTGATTCGGATAGTTTATCTGATATTGAGACGGACTCTTCGCTGTCTTCTTCTGCTACTTGGGTTTTTTTCTTCGATCTGGTTTGTTTTCTTTTTGGAGTTTTATCAATCAGAGACGAAATGATTAGGTCCGCTGTGGAAATGCTTTTTCCGGCTGTAATATTGATTTTTTTCCCTCTTTTAACAGTGGTTCCAGTAGAAGATTTCAATCTTTCCAAGTGTTCTACTATTGATTGAGTCCATGCTTGTTCATCTTCGTTGTCTATATTTACTGTAGGATTGTTTCTTGGCAATTTGTGGAGGACAATATCTGGATTCCAAGGAGAAATGCCACAGGCTTTGAAACCAGCAATAGAGTTTTCCTTAGATCGTATGCCAATCTTTTCAACTGTCTCCCTCAGGAGCCTTGGGAATTCCGTTTTTGGTAAGACACCACGATGTTTGATTTTCCATTCTTCCAGAATTCTTCGCCAGCACGCCTTAACAGGTCTGAAGTATGCCACATCGAGTGGTTGCAATAGATGTGTGGAGTTGGGCGGGAGAAGAACAAATTTTATCTCATTATTCGCACACTCCTCTATTACACTCATAGTGATATGGCTATTCAGGTTGTCACCTATAAGGACTTTGGGACCATTTAACTTCCTGAAAAATGGCAGAATGATTGTTCTGAACCAATCTTCAAACAACTCTGAATCAAACCACCCACTCATAGATCTATTGTATCTAGCATTTTCGATGCCGCCTTCCGTCCAACCTTCATATGAATGTTTAGCTTTATACACTGTGTACGGCGGCAATAAAGTGCCATCAGCCGCGATAGCAAACATAACAGTAGTGCTGCTCTTTGAACTATCAATAGTCCTATGTGTGTGTTTTGCTCCTCTTTTTGTGACAACTTTAACAGATCCAGGATCGTCGACGAAATTGGTCTCGTCATAATTCACTATGTTTGAAGGAGGAATGCCTTCTATGGTTCGCCCTAGATTCTCAAAATATTCTTGAATCACCTCATATGATAATGCAGCCCTGACGCGCTTCGTGTTCTCTGCCAACTTAATTGTTAAATCCCGATTTCTTTTCATGAAATTCTTGAACCAGTCCAATCCAGGAAGATTATCTCTGAATCTTCTCTCTACCACCCCCAACTTGTTCAAATATTGTTGCACGATTCCCCTTATATCATTCGATTTCATAGGAAACCCCCACTTTGCGCAGACCTCAAGACTATCTCTGATTCGCATCTCTTGATTTTCGGTGAATACTGGTTGGCGGCCATACTTTAAAGGATGGTGTCCATGAAATCGTCTTTGAATTGTGGAGAAAGGAACTCCATAATGCTCCGATGCTTTTCGCATGGACATGCTACCCCTACGGACCGCCGCCACTGCCCGATGCACATACGCTTTATCATAATTGCATTTTCCCTGGGGCCCTAACTTCCTAACATATTTTCGTGGCATCCTATGAACAAAAAATCAATGAATAAACTGAGACTATATTGAGGGGGGATGGGGTTCTAGGGGGTACTATCAATTGAAATATACCATAACTTTTTTTTGTCAAAAGAAGAAATTGATTCTTGATTCAATCATTAGGTCTAAATTATGATTCAAATCCCATGCAATCAAAGATGATTCATTTTCCCCACTATCTAGTTCATTTTACATAAAGAATATTCTGAATTCTCAACTAAATCGAGACACAATTTTTTTTTCATGGAATTGGATTCTTAGATGACTGATCAAATCATAACATCAATAGTAGTATTTCTCAATATAACCCACTCCCCCTCACAACTGAACGATTTCGGCTTTTAATGACATTGCAAAATAAAGCGTATCCAGAATAAACAGAACGAGCACTTACCTATTAGCAGAATCGAATGTATACGTATCGCACCACGGCACAGATACAACTGACTAACGAATGGCGTACGAAAGCAACCTTAAAAAGAAAGAATGTCGAGTCTGCGCGAGAGAAACCGTTGAATTAACGGATTGATTCACTTTACCCATACCGATTCACTTAGCCCCGTTTGACGGTACCGGATTGAATATAGCGAGTGGATTGTATAGCTGAAATATCATCTGAAATACTCCCAGTTCAGAAAGGCGGGTTGGTCAATTAACCCTTCATTATTTCTGATGTTCAAGTTATCGTCTGTACGATATAGGTTATTTTTCTATAGAGATAAGGTGGTAATTTATTCATAATAATTTTATGGAAGAGGGAAACAGCATCATATATTCGTCTATTATTCATAAATTCAGTCAGCCAATTTCACGAAGTATATGGGATAAATCTGCCGTCTTCGAATGCCATATTTTATATCAAACGGAGACACGAATTTTGAACCTTTAGATTTTTTTTCTTATGGAGAGTTGTTCGCCTCTTCAGAAGGTTCTCGCTCTAGTTACTTACTAAAAGAATAAGGAAAAAGAAGGAAGGATATAAAGAGAATAAAAAGAAAAAAGGAAGGAATAACAAAAGGATAAGAAAAAGAAGGAAGGACGAGAACAATAAAATACAGAAAAAAGGAAGGACCTACTCACCGGTTGAATAACAAAGTAGGACATGTGCTTCCTTCGCTCGGGCCGCGTACCCTCGACTTTGGCCGACAACTGCCGACCGCCGTCGAGGAAGTGCGGGTAGCTGAGCGCTATGGGGAAGCCGTAGTAGCAGCCGCGGACGTCGAGCAGCCCCGGGGGCAGGCATGGCCTGTCTGGCTTGCAGAAGCAGCGGTTGCGCTCGTTGGTGTGGCCGTTGTCATCTGCTTCGGGGTCGAAATGGTACACGTATGCTTTGAGGCCGTTGGCGATCGTTTCGTTCACTTTGACCTGCAGAAAAAAGGAACTTGCTGAGCTGGGTTCATCAGATTTCGTACAGCCCAGACAGCACCAGATATTCTATGAATCACCCTATCATTTTCCATTCGAAATATTGGAATATCCTATAGGAATAATCTGATATATTCTAGATTCTCTGCGAAATATTCACAGAATTTGCAACTAGGTATTCCTGAAACATTCATAGAACATGTCCAAAAGAATATTCTATGGATCTCTAGAATAGATTCTAGTAATATTCCTTGAATGTTCCTGGAATATTCCAATAAAGATATTCTTAAGTGAAAGAAGGTGGCCCAGGATGAGCTCGAATCCGTGACTTCCTGACTGTCAGCAACGCCTCAACCAAAAGTCCCCGGACTCACGAGGAGCCCCAAGTGAAAGGGGGGCGAAGGTCCCTTTTTTTTATTTATCGTTCATATTTCGAAAACGGCACGTCACAGCAAAAAAGTCTATGAATTCAAAATTGTAGCTGATAAAATTCTCTACGAAATTGTATCAGAGGGTTTTGTCCCTATCTTTGATAATTCTCGAGATTTTCGCTAGCGACTCATGTGAATTTTTGAAAATCGCTCTTTTATCTAGCGTGTTTTGACGGCTCATTCGTCAGTTTTTCAACGAAGTATTAGACGAAGAAGTCGCAAAAGATTTAAACATCTTCAAAATGTTAGGTCACATGTACTTTTTTATACAGCGTGTCTCACTTTAACGCCCCCCTCTATATAACTTAGCTAGTGATCAGACAATTCTTGCCAAATCTGGACTGGCATGAATAATTCCATGAAATCATATTGGGCATTTTTTTACGGGAGAACTAACCTCATAATATTGTTCTCCATGGTTTTGAACCCCCATATGTTAGTTTTCATGTAATTTCTTTGGAGTGTTTCGAAAAAACAAGCACTTTGGAATGAGTCGAATTCTTGCATATGGACAATCTGAAGCAAGAGGAATAATAAAGTGGAGTTAGTTTTCCTGCAAAAAATGCCTAATAGGTATGATTTCATAAGAAAATCGACTCGTCATTTCAATTAAAAAGCACGGCACTGTCGATAATGACGTTTGTCTCTGAGAAAACGATCATATTGATGGTTAATCATATCAGTCAAAATTTGATAAGAATCGCACGACTAATAGCTGAGATAAAGGGAGGGGCCGTTTGAAGTGAGACAAGCTGTAAAAATTAGTATTATTCAAAGGAAATCTGATTTTTTCGTCCCAAAATGTCGCAGTGTTTGAAATTTCACTATTAGCAACCTTGAGGAGAAATTCAATTCATAGTCGATGACACCTGGTTGTTCGACGAATGTTTGAAAAGAGGAATATAGGTGAATCAAAAATCGCCCCTAAATTATTTCTCCTTTCATCTTTGTTATATTCTTCTCCTTTTCCAATGAGTTTCATCCTACTATGAGTTTTTCAACTTTTTACCATTCTCAAAAAGGCTTCAGCACTGGTCTAGTTGGGCATAATCAAAACTCAACATAACCTAACCTCAACTACATAATAGCCAAACAGCATATTCACTGATGAGGGTCAAGAGCACGAGACCGTGGTCTGTAGGTGTCAAGCGTTGGCCTGACTACAATCTAAACACGATCGGCATCAGGGAAAGAAACACTACTATAATTCTTTTCGGTATCAAAAAGTATGAACCTCGGTCTCTAAACGATTCCTTACCAGTTTTTTGGCCCTGCACATGCTCTTCCTGAAGAACATCAGCGTATCGTTGGGCTGGATGTAGCCGGCGAATTTGGTACCGTCCGACGAACCGCTGATGTCCCCGCATGGGCTGTCCCACTGGGGGATCTTCGTGGATCCTCGGTATTTCTCGATCAGGCCGATGTTCTCTAAGCCGAGTTTCTGACCGTTGTACACCGTCTCGTAGTCACCGTCAAAGTCGTACATCTGCAATAATCAAAATTCAAGATGGCGGCTTCAAGATGGCGACTTCAAGATGGCGCCTCCAAGATGGTGGACCAGTTGGTCATTTATCGTCCGATCCGAGCGAACAATTATATCTGGGAATCTTTGAGGTTGGGAAACAGAAATGTATCTTCAGAATTTGAAAATTCAAGATGACGGACGATTTTGTCATTTCTCTCTAAAGATTATAGAATTTTTGTGGATGTGAAACTAGTTAACATGGGAAAGACCACTGATTTTTTGAAACGACATCATCGTGAACTCTATACTGAAAAACTACCAGTGAAATAATTTTGAATTTTTTCATTCACGCTAAGACAATGAAAAAAATAAATTAGTATATGTCCATTTCAAAACATACAATTCCTGCGCCATTTGCAATTTCATCAATTCATTGGTGTGACTGGTGCGACGTCTTAGTCCCAACACGCCTATTGTCCTTGAACTGACCAATTACACTGCAACACTGCAGAATGACGAGGTATTAGAGAGAGATAGCTACAGTTCGGGACTAATACGTCACGACTCCATCATCATATTTGGCTGTTTGAAATATCAAATGAAATATGCTGATTTCAAAACGATATAGATTCGATTCCCTTCAACTTCAACTCATAATATTGATTGTACATAAAATGTAAATCATGATTCGTCGATTGAAAGAGGTTTGCACGGATTTCTTCCCTCAGTGGTCTTCCCCAAATTGAAATAATATATACGACCCAGTTTTCGTACAACACTCAGTAGAACACTTGGTATTGATTGAGGCATCCATCAACATCCTCATTACCTTTCAAAGATGGTAATAAAGCAGGTATTATAATCTTTTTGCTATGTTCTGATGAATTCTCTTTGAATACAGATACTTTTCGTGTTACGGATAACATAATTAGCATACCTAAATTTTTTTTATTCAAGCACTACAAGCAGATTTTTCATTCTGTTCTAGAAAAAGAACTTGTTCCTCGACTTCGTTAATGGAAAATCAATAATCTTCTGACAGTAAATATTTTTAATTGGCGAATTAAAATCTGTATAGACATTCATAATTCTGGCCATTAAAGATTACCATATTATATTCAGCCTTGTTAAGCCGAAATTGATGTGAACAAAAAAATTGTTTTTTTTTCTCGACCAGATCATGAATCTAATATTAATTTTAAATGAGAAGAAGTTCTTCACGATTTTTTCGAATTGACCTATGTCGTCACTTCCTAACAGGTTATTGTGAAGCATACCCTAAAATCACCAATATTGTATTTATAACATAGAAGTGCACATACAAGTGCTGTACCTTCTGAATCGTTCGACATCGTATTCTGAAAATTGGTGGGTAGCAAGAAGTATACCAAAGTTGCTCATTTATTGACGAAACAGTTTTTGTTGTACCGAAAACGATCCTTGCTTTTGATTTTTATATGGGAAACCCTGTATTATATTCAGGGATCATCGTAAAACGAATTCAACGATGCCGGGTTATTTCGAACGATCAAGAAGATATTCTTCTAATTTTTTATGCATACGACGAACAGTGTAAGGTTCGATATTTTCTGGCAGCAGCTCTGCCATTTTGTCCAGCAACTCCTGAACTGAAATTGGTTCAACATTTTTCTTGAGCCACCTGCATATTTCTAAGAAGGCATCTTCTTTATTTTTATCAGAAGGACGTCCTGCTAACTTTGTCCATTCATTGGGAATATCATGTTTCTTAGGTATAGAGTCGCCTTTTCCAAAATTCACACTACATTTCTGATTATACAGAGCATCTGCTGCTGGCAAGTATCGGTAACGGAAAGAAGACGTGCAAGGACATTTGATGATCAAAAATCGTTTCTTGCGTCACACACATCAATAATAGTTTGTCGAAACGCGAAAGTTCGTACTGGTAAAATTGCAGATTTAATTATTTTCTCAGTTTCCTTGATCAATTGTCCACAAAACAAGCAATTATCTTTGAATGCGAATGTCGGCAGCTCAGATCACAAAGCTCTGTTGCTGCTGCTGCTGCTGCTACTATAGTTGATGCTTCTCTATCAGGATCTGATTTAAACCTGAGATCATCTTGTTCGGATTTACGTACAAACGACGACATTCGACGTGAACAATTAGAGGATGAATAGGCACTGGTTCCAAGAGTTCAACTATTTTGTCTTGCTGCTACTTGCTAGCACTTATAATTCCTTGGACACCTTTAGCAGCCAATTTGACACAATTCGAACCATCATCAGTACTTAACGAAAATAATAAACATTTATTGTCATCTTCCATCACTGCTTTTAATTCACTATATTTAGGTATACCTGGAATAGTATATGAAATAATGGAATCTCTCATTCACGATCACAGAGAATAGTTTCAATCACATACCAAAATGATTCTTTCACACCTCGACACGAATTTTGAGATCTGCTAACCATATTATCATTTTTAGGAAAATTATGAAATTCGTTTGAATTTTATCCTGAAGATCCTAACATAGGTAGCGGAACATGTGTTGAGTTGTGAAACAATCATTTTGGTTTGGGCACCTGAAATATGAAAAGTTGCATTAAAACATTTTTGCATAAAATAATGCTTCTATATTTTTTATATAGTGTAAGCGGTCGAATGAGGCTTCAGAAAATGAAAACTGCGTTTTTGTGGAAATTATTTCCACCCCAATTCCTCCAACTGCTCTACTAATATCTTCGTTCTGGCTATCGCTGAATTCGTCATGATGATCCCGAACCGATTATGGAAGAAAATACAGGATGTCCTATTTAAAGATCAAAAGTTGAGATCGTTTCCGGTGGAAACGGAAATGATACAACACAAATTTTTTGTCAATAATTATAGATGAGCAATTTATTGGTATACTTGCTATCCACTAATTCTCAAAATCCGGTCTCGAATGATTCAGAAGTTACAGCATTGATAATTTTTCGTGCACTCCTCTGTATAGTCATGGCTCGAAAATCATAGGTCGTCTTGGGTAGTCATAACTAAAGTCATCGAAGTCTCAAGTCATCCAAAGCCATTGATTGCCTTTGAAAATTATTTATCATATTCGGTATTCATTATGAATATGGAATTCATTATTGGAATTGGGTGGTGATCTTTAAAAGTCATCGAAAGTCTTCAAACACCCTTGAAAATCATCGGTTGTTTCTGGAAGTCATACCTAAAGAAGCCATTGGAAGTCTCAAGTTATCGGAAGTCTTCGAATTCCTTTGAAAATCATTGATCATCTTTTGTAGTCATTATAAATATTTGGAAGTCATTGGAATTGGGAAAGTTTGGGAGTTACTGGCGAAAGTCAGTGGAACTGTTTAAATAAGTCATTAACAGTCATTGGAAGTCTGGCAATCACTGGATGCCTTCAAATACCTCAAGAATTTGGAAGTCATTGCAAAACTCTTAAATTATTGGCGTATTCGATAGCTCATTGGAGTATTGTAAGTCAATGGAAACCTATAGAACACTTCAAAATTCGTTGATCTTTGTTGTCTTTGGAAGGAATTGGGAGTCTCAATGTGATTTTTTTTGAAGTTTTCTCTTCATTATGCGATCTTCATTCATTTTCTCACCCTGTCGATTATTTCAAAGTCATTGACAGACTTCAAACGCCCTTGAAAATCATCGGTCGATTATGGAAGTCATTACAAAAGAGGTCATGGGAAGTCTCAACTTATCGGAAGTCTTCGGATTCCTTTGAAAATCATTGATCATCTTTGGAAGTCATTATAAATATTTGAAAGTCATTGGAATTGGGAAACTTTGGGAGTTACTGGCGAAAGTCAGTGGAACTCCGTGGAGTATTTGGTAGCTCATTGGAGTATTGTAAGTTAATAGAAGCCTATAGCACACTTTGCCATTCTTTGCATGATCTTCGTTGTCTTTGGAAGTATCTGGTAGGCCTTTTTTTCCTCATTATGCGAACTTCTTTTGTTTACTCACCCTGTCGATTAGTCCCAACTTTTCGAAAGTGATCCAGTTGGGTAGGAACTTGTTTCCTAGCGTCATGAGGGTACTGCTGTATCCGAACATAAATTCTCTAGCAGTCATCTGGACCAACGGTAGGGATTCAGTCTGTCTGATGAGAAGATTCAGGCCTAATCTGGTGAAGTACGATTGGTCAGATACTACGTCTGCGATGCTCTGAAAAGGAACAAGCCAAAGATTATCATCATTGTATTCAACAGAAATATTCCTTTATTGTTGAAATGTTTAAATTTAATGTAAAATGCCATATTCCTTATCTGAGATTTTGGATAATCCTGAAAATAAAATTGGTATTACCACAAGTGAGTCTGGGATTGATGAAATACTATGTAATGACTGTAACATCGAATATATTGGACAAACATGTAGGAACATGAGCATCCGATTCAAAGAACATATAACCTTTTATAGATATCGATTTTCAGTTCTTGGTTCAAGCAATAGCTCGCTTGTTTTTGTACCGATTTAAAAAATAACAGGGTGCTCGGAGCAAACGATCTACAGGTTACTAGTTCATTTTTCCAAATGTGACATCCTGTATTTTATTACATTTCTAGATTCTCCCTGAAGAGCTAATTTCATCAATACATCACACTTGGGGTCTTGCGAGAATGATTGATTTACTATCTACTGACATTTAATTGGAACAATACAGGTTGTTTAAAGATTCCGAATTCTGATCACCCTGTATCTGTTCCAATTATTGAATGTCAGTATATAGTGAATCAGAAGTTGAGATAGGGATATAAAAGTCGTTTTGACTTATAATGAATAGTTTCGACACAAAAAAATCCTAACGTTGAGAAATCTCGATTTTAATGACCCTATATCTCTACCCCAAGTATGATGTATTGATGTGTTCCATTTGAAATAAATCTACTAGTACCCTGTAGATCGTTTGTTCCGAGCACCCTGTATTTTCTGATGTAGAAGAAAAAAAAGTATCAAAAATCAGTTCACATGGTTCTTCGAATTTTTGGACGAGTTAAAAATAATTGAGCTGAAGAGAGGGACATTCATGGTGAATCACCCAGTACGTTCGATTTATTGTGATACTAATATGCTCATAGATTATATTGTAAAAGATAGGAAGAAATTGATTCGATCTAAGAAACGCAGAGAAAAGATTCTGGTAATTTTCAGTAGCCAGAGAAAATAAGCATTCTTTCAGCATTTCATAATAATTTTAGAAGGAAAAACTTTCAACAATTTTTTCATTTCATAAGTCTCAGAAATATAGATAGGTATCAGATATTTTAGCGAGAATGAAATATTACTCAATAATAGCCCTATTGGGTATAAAATAATAAAAATGATAGTGAAATGAATACGAAAAGCTCAAAAGTCATTTCCACACAATTTTCATAAAATAAACAACAATGGTAGATTTCGGGAGAGAAACATTGAATTACATCTTACCGAAATCTATGCATCGACTCTTATAAACGAATACTGATACCAGTGATTCTTTCCTGAAAGACTATTGATTTCGATTTAGCCATGTCACGCTAGACACCTACAGACCGGTTTTGAGCTCTTTGACTCTCATCAGTGCAGGGCAGTCTCCAGCCAGCAGTCCTAAGACCGCCGACTAAGCGTAGCCTAGCCAAACAAAATTCAAGTTGGCATTATATTCCCTCAGAGGCCTCCTCCATAGACAATATGAGAGCAACGCCATCTGAGTAGAAAAGAAGGAAAGAAACACGCCAGTGTTTATGTATGTATGTGTATTTATTTAACATTTTATTCCACTTTGAACATTGCGCCTATTTCATAGTTGAAAATGATTGTGTTTCAAATTTCTTCACAAAATTATAATGTTCTTATTTATAGAAGTGACCACATCGTATTCTAACTTGAACTTGATGTAATTACATTATCATGCACAAGACGAATTGTTGCCAAATGGAAAATAGCGAAATACAGGAGAAATTAATAATTACAAAATGAGTTAATCAAAGTTGAATGTTTTGGTATCAGGGACGGATTCGAACTTCATTTCTTAATTCATACTGCAGAAAATATATATAGTATACTGGGTGGGTGTCCGCGTAGAGTAGAGAAGCTCTCTTCAGTGTAATAAAGAGATAGACAAAATCTTTTTGGATACATATCGTATGGTGTACAAATTGAAATCATTTTGATCTCTACAGGATGTTTTTTGAACGTGGGACTAAATGAATTAGGATCTCTTCAACCCTTAACTACTAACTTTCCAAATATATAACGTTGTCACTAACCATACGTCTCACAGACGGGATATTAAAATGTCCATATATAAATCCAAATTTGTTTCATTTTATTTTTGTGAGCTATTCGAAAACGTTCTCTAGATATTTGGCGAAGAGAAAATGATGTTCAAAATTGAAATAGAAATACAAATTTCAGTGGCAAAATTTCATAGAGGAGTACCTAATGTTGCAAATTTTGACATTGATCTATAGAAATACTAAAATTATCGATGATATTATTGTCATTCTGAATACAGTTAGAGACGTAATGAAATATGGCACAGAACTAAGTTATAAACATGCAAATTGAAAAAGATGACAATGCTTGTATATCTAGATATAGACGCAATCATACGTATTATAGGCGAAATTGAACCTTTATTGTTACGTAATAACTAACTATATGTCAACGAGACGGCAACCTATCTTTCACTCAAGATATTTCTAAAACTAGACCACATACGTAGATCAACTTCAGGGTATATACTGAATGAGTGCTGGGTGCTGGGTGGACATGAATTACGTGGTAGGACAATGGCCGATATTGAAATGCTGGGGTAATCCAACAAATCGGAAGCTGATATGCCGTCTCTGAGACGTATATGATTAGTAGTTAAGTGGAATACCCTGTATTTGCATTATTAGATTCTCCCTGAAGAGCTGATTTTATCAATGTATCACACTTGGGGTCTAGCGGGAATGATTACAGAGATATAGATAGACATTTGATTGGAACAAATACAAGGTGTTCAAGATTTTGAATTCTTCTTCTTCCAAAACTCGGTTAACATCATTTTTGAAGCAAAAAAGTGGAAGATAGCCAAAAAAAGCAAGGGCAAGCCAATTGTCAGACGATTTGATCCGTTATTATGATCACAATTTCAGATCATCTCAATTTTTTTTACCTAACTCGCAGTGACTGTAGCTCGGGTTAAGGGGTGCTTTTAAGGACCCATGTTTATATGAAGAAAAAGTCTTATTTTGATCCCACCAATACTTTCTTGAAATATTTACGTCGAATTTTGAATATTTCTTCATATTTCATAAAACAAAATATTGGAATTTTCTGCCTCATCAATGCTGATAGATAGATATCTACATCCGTCTCTGTCGTGTGATTGATATTCGAAACAGCAAACTATATGTTTGCAATTTATATTCAAATGGATTTTATGCAATTCGGACTGATTTCTGTTTGCACAAGATCGTTTTGATCAAAATCAATTGTCAATAGTATATTTTGTTCTAGTACCTACTTCAATTTAGCTAATGGAAATTATAAATATAATAACAAACGTCTATAATGATGAGGCAGATTATTGACTGTTCTTGAAAACATATTTATTTATGTATTTACAGTTCGTTTTCTCATTTTTCATCAATGGGTGAGGTATTGAAGAGACATTTTTCGAAAAAATATTCTCTTTCCAAGCGGCAGGGAAAGTGGATATTCTCAGACATCTAACAGGCAGGAAAGTTGAACTTTCTCTGCCTAGGCAGAAAAAGTTTGTTGCTGCGCAACGTTCCAAGTAATTTGAATGAAATCGGTAATGAAAATTGACACTGACATTGGGTGAACACGAAATGATGGAGTTTTCGATCTGCTTGCATTCTTCTGAACGGAGACAATAACATTGCTTCCTGTTCAGTTGATATAGATCATGATATTCACTACTGAAATCTGAAAATGAAAATGGTACATTCAAGATTGAATAATGAAAACATCTACATCTACATCATTTACCGTCACCAAATGAAAATTTTCATTTTTCTTTGAAGCTCTCGGATAGGAAAATTCTCTATATAAAAAATAGCTTTTCGCTTTTTTTGCCAATAGGAGCACTCCGGTAGACTACTACGTCTCCATTTTCCGAAATTTCCCGATTTCCACCACAGATTCGTTCATTTCGATATCGGATCAGTCTATGTGAATTTTTTCAGATTTTTAATAGGCCAAATAAAAATTTTCATTTTCCCACCTAAGACTTATTCAGTACGATATAGTCACCGAGCCATCTTCGGACGGCCGAAAGTGCCAGAAAACGGCATAAATATTCGCAGATTATTGCTCTTTTAGTAGAAAATGACACGCTGAATCGAATGAGACCATAATCAGCCCCATAGGACAGATAGTTATTAAGATATCGGCGCTCAAAGTCAGCTTTTCGCTTTTATTGCCAAAAGGAGCATTCCAGTATACTCTTACGTCTCCATTTTCCAAAATTTTTCGATTTTCACCACACATTCGTTTATTACGACATCAAATTAGTATATCTGAATTTTTTCAGATTCTCAATGAACCAAATAAAAATTTTCATTTTCCCACCTAAGACTTCAGTACGATATAGTCACCGAGCCATCTTCGGACGGCCGAAAGTGCCAGAAAACCGCAGAAATCATCAGGAATTATCGCTTTTTCAGTAGAAAATGACACGCTGAATCGAATGAGACCATAATCAGCCCCATAGGATAGATAGTTTTCGAGATATCGGCGCTCAAAGTCAGCTTTTCGCTTTCATTGCCAAAAGGAGCACCCCAGTAGGCTACTACGTCTCCATTTCCTAAAATTTTCCGATTTCCACCACAGATTCGTTTATAACGACATCAAATTAGTCTATGAGAGTTCTTTCAGATTTTTAATAGGCCAAATAAAAATTTTCATTTTCCCACCTAAGACTTCAGTACGATATAGTCACCGAACCATCTTCGGACGGCCGAAAGTGCCAGAAAACCGCAGAAATCATCGGGAATTATCGCTTTTCCAGTAGAAAATGACCCGCTGAATCGAATGAGACCATAATCAGCCCCATAGGACAGATATATCAGCGCTCAAAGTCAGCTTTTCGCTTTTATTGCCAAAAGGAGCACTCCAGTAGGCTACTACGTCTCCATTTTCCAAAATTTTTCGATTTTCACCACAGATTC